ATGTCCCCCACCCCTCCCCTGCCTTCTGACCAGGACAGGGTGAGCGAACGCCCCAGAAGCCAGGCAGCAGGGCTTCGTCTTTGGGGCACCCCCCTCTAGAAGCAGAACACCAGTGATGATGATGATGATGATGATGAAGTTCATATCTCCTTCTGGAGAGATCATCATAAAGAAATGTGACAATAGGGACACCTGGCTGGCTCAGTCAATGAAGCATCTGCCTTTGGCTCAGGTCATGATCTCGGAGTCCTGGGATCAAGTCCCACATCAGGCTCCCTGCTCAGCAGGGAATCTGCTTCTCCCTCTGCCCCTCCCCCCAGCTCTGTTCTCTCACTCACTCATTCTCTCTCCTTCTCTCAAATAAATAAATAAAATCTTAAAAAAAAAAAAAAGAAATGTGACTACGTTAAGAACTAGTGAATCTAGGTGAAGGGAATATGGCAGTTAATTGGCCTATTCTTGCCATGTTTCTATAATTTCAAAGCGGTTTTTTTTTAAACTAAAAAGTTAATAAACAAGCACAGAGCATGCAAGTCTCCCTCTGCCTCCACCTCCCCCCTGCAGCCCCCCAGGGTCCCGGGTCAGCCCCTGCTTACAGAGGCGCAGCCGTGGGTGCGGGAAGGGGCAGGCCTCCCCACAGATGCTCACACTTGCGGCAAGTCACCTCCCTCATGGCCCTCTGATTAGCCAAATGCCCGGAAACACTTCAGTGTGGACCACACTCCCTTCAGGACTCCACAGACTTTTTGGGGAAGCCCTTCGGGCAACTAGGAAAATTTAGGAGAAAAGAGAGTGGAGGGGCGGTGGCAAGAGGAGAGAAAGGAGGGCCCCCTCCCCCACGCCCACCCACATGGGCCAGCCCCTCGAGGGAGGGCTCAGTCAGCAGGCAGATGGTGGTTCTAGATTCGGTGTTGGGCTCTGAGAGGAAAAGCCTTAAACAAATCTCCTCACATAAGGACATTGATTTTTCCCAACTGACTTTGACAAGATTGCAGGGATCTGTGTTTCTTTACTTCCATATTCATCTTGATTGCTTCCTCCTGTGCCCCTCCGAGGCTCTGATCTCAGAAATTAGAACCATGCTTCCTCCACCCCAGCACCCGGGAAGGGGACATGGGTGGGAGCAGGTGCGGTGGACTGGGCTGTCACTTCAGCTGCCCCCCAGGACCAGGGGTCTGAGACGGGCAGGCCAGGTCCCGGCACACCAGGGAAAGCATCTCCCCACCTGCTGAGGCTCTCCTGCGCCCCCAAGCCCCCTACAGATTCCAGGGCCGGGGCCACCGCCCCGTGTGAAACTCGGGGCTATTTAAGGACAGCCTGTCAGCTGTGACAGCCAGGCCTCCTGATTCTGTGATATAAATAATTAATCCTCTTACGTTTGCTCCGGCCAAATTAGACATTGATTGGGAAAAGCTTAATCTGACTCCTTTTCAGAGGGGCTGGGGGCGCTGGGGTGGGAGCCACAGTGGAGGCAGGGCTGGGGGGAAGGGGCAGTGTGCAGGGTCCAACTGGAAGGAGGAGGAGGTGAAAGCTAAGCCAAAGAAGAGAGAGGATAGGGAAGGGCTGAGAGAGGTGGCCTTGCTCCCGCGTCACCCTGGACCCTGTGGCCAGCCGCTTGAAGGAGGGGCTTGAGTTTCTGGAAGGGACCCCTACAGAGGGTTTTATTGGTGTGGGAGAGGAACATAAAGAAAGGGAGGGAAAGGACGGACTGAGCGAGATATGAGCAGGGGACTCGCCTTGGTTTGCGATACCAGAGGGCGCAGCCCCCACGGCCTGCTCCTGCCTGTGACCCTGGGAGAGGACAGGCTAGGAATTCCTCCCGCGCCCCGTTGCGCCTCTAAGGAAGGGACAGGCCCTGGGGGGCTAAGGGCAGCCACTGCACAGGGGGCAAGGCTGGGACAGCACAGCCCCGCTGGGCTCCGGGCCTGTGCGAGCCCCAGCACTTCTCCTGAGCTCCTCGGGGCTGAGCAGGTGAAGCTTGCACCCTCAGTGACTTACATGAGGGCCCCGGAGAGAAGGAGAAAGCCCCATCTTCTCCAGGAACTCCTCCAATGACAGAAGAGGACAGCCCTTCAGAACCAGCCTGCAGGTTCTGAAGGGCTAACCTACGTACCCCGAGGCAGGAGCAGGCCTGGGGGAGCAGGAGGGGCTCACCCTGCCCTCCTCCTGGTCCCACCTGCTGCAGCCCCCCTCCGCCCCCCTCCGCTCCCCTCCGCCTGACCCCACGCTTCATTCAGCTGGAGGTTGGACGCTGAACCCCAGCCGTGTGCCTGGCACTGAATTCCTCTTCCTCAGGCAGGGGCTGTGCCTGGCTGTTAAGTCTGGTCATTAAATTAAAGTTAGAAATGGAAATGATTCATGAATAACTCATAATGGTTTGTTGGGAAGCTCCTTAAGCTCTCAGGGACCTATGGTTTGCTCTGTTGTTAAACTATAATTGTTATTATTAATCATGTTCTTAATAATTATGTGATATTAACTCACGATAATAACCACATGGTGTCAACCTGGGCGCTCCACGTGATGCCAAGACACGGCTGTCTCCTGGGGCTGGACGGGCCTTAGTGTGAAGCTGAGGGAGGGAAGGCAGGAGACGGTCCCCTCGGTACCACCAACGGCTCCAGGACCAAGAGAAGGGGGAGGTGAAGGCGTGGGCCGCAGGGAAGCTGTGGTTACCGGGACTCATGGTCATGGGGTCACAATAAGACAAACACCCCGAAATAGGCTTGGAATAGGAGGAGCCCGGTTGGAAGTTGCGTGAAAAGTTAAGTGTTGTCCACAGTGGGGTTAAACCAGGGGACGCTGTGAACTCTCTCCCTGGGGGTCTGTAGGGAAAGGCCCCCCCACACACGCACACACACACATGCACACACGCGTGCCCCTGGGGGCTCCCAGCACTGCCTCACGGACAGCAGGCTCCCCCCTCCCGCACTGGTCTAAGGCAGTGATCACCGCCCCAGGGCCAGGACCAAGGCAACCCCGGGGCTTTTGAGTCTCTCACTCTGGTGGTACTGATTGGTGACTGGCGGATGAAAGACTTCACAGCCGTCTTCCCGCCCCTCTGACCAAACAAGGACTGATGGAGCGGAGCCTCCGAGGAGTGAAGACAGGGTGGGAGGCTAGAAGCTGGGCAGGAGAAAGGGCAAGCGCCATCCCTGGGAGGGACGAGGGGGCACAGTGAAGGGACCCACCCTGGGGACAGGAGTCAGGACAGGAGAGCTGAGAGAGCTGGAGGAAGGGCCCTGGGGACCTCTGGCTAATACCCCTCCCACAACTTCCCACCTCGTCTGGAAATCAAGTCTGTGTGTGTGCATGCATGTGCACGTGTGTGGGTGCAGATGCACATGCGTGTATGGGCACGTGCCACTAGACCTTGGCCTCCCTCTTTCCCACTGGGGATCCCAATAGACAGGCCCTCGGTAGCGCTCAGAGCGGGATGGCCAAGCTGTCTAGGGACTGACAGTGGTTTATTCATTTCCTAGCCAGTCAGATGGGCCAATCTATTGAGTAGTCCACCCACCTCTCTCCAGAATAACCTGCTTGTCACCCGCGGACCAAAGCCTGTTGCCTCCAACACCGACTCTTCCCTTAGCCCCGGAAGTTACCCCTCTATGGAGATTCCTGCTGGCCACCCTCCCCGCCCCGGCACTGAAGGATCTCTGGTGGGAGGGGGGCCTAGCCCTGTGCCACCTCATGCCACACCCCACTTTCTAGCTTCTAGAGAGACGCAGCCCCTGGGTGGAAGAAACACCCTTGCCATTGGAGGAGATCCACAGCGGCACGCGGGGCCTGTGTTGCAGGTGGGCCAAGCGGGGCCAGATCATTAAGGAAGCATCCGGAGAAGTGTATCGGACCTCAGTGGACTACACGTACTTCTCAGAGCCTGTCTCCTGCGAGGTGACCAATGCCCTGGGCAGCACCAACATCAGCCGCACGGTGGACGTCTACTGTGAGTACAGTCGTCCAGGGGCATCCCCAGGCGAGCCGGCCCTGGAGCATCTCTGCTCAGGGGCTCAGGAACCTTGCTGGGCTCTCTGCACACCATAGAACCATGCCTCACGAGCTCACAGTGCCGCCCACTTTAAGAAAAGCTTCTTGGTGTGGTATTTCCGGCATACCTTGACCCTTGTAGTAACCCAGGGAGGCAGGAATTATTATTCCCATTACTCAGATGAGGGGATGGAGTCCCAAGGTCACTCAGCAAGTAAGTCGCAGAAGGAGAACTGAGGCCAGGCTCGAGCAAATCCACTGCTGACCACAGGCCCCGCTGCCTCCCATTAGGGACCCGAGTACACCTCCCTCTGGTGGCCTGGCAGCGACCCCCTTGGGGTGAGCCAGCCCATCACTGACCGATGGGTTGGATGTGTTCACAGCAATAAGCATTAGCTCATCTACTGCGCTTTACAGTTTGAAAAGCACTTTTGCAAACTTATATCTGACCCCTCCCCTCACCCCCAGTGGCCTCAACAGAAAGTGCCACCACCCCCTTTTCAAGGGACTAATCCCGGTCTCCTGACCCTGGTTTTCACGTTCTTCTGCTCCTGGAAAGCAGCTGAGCAGCTCTCTGCACACCCTCCCGTCACCGTGCCTGAAATCCCACCATTACACCCACTCTGGGGCCAAGGCTTGGTCTGCAGGAGGCTCTGGTTACAGGTGGTGTGCAGCGGGGAGACGGAGAGGAGCCTCCATTTATGCTCACCAACACTTAGCAGGGGCCTGGGACCAGGCCCAGCTACTTCACCGGGGTTGGAGAAAGGCTGGGAGGGGCTGGAACGGAGCATAACCTGCGGGCTCGGAGAGGGTGGAGAACACGGGGAGAGGCATGCTTCCTCCACGCCTTGTCTCAGAGCCCCTGGGAGGACCCTGGGAGGGCTCCAGGAGGTGGGCGAGGTGCACAGGGTAACTGGATTCCAGGTCCCTCAGCTGAAGCCTGGAGGAGATGAGCAAGGACCTGAAGGCAGACACAGAAAAATCCCAGGATTTCTGGGGTAGGAGGAAGTCCTCTCTGCCTGCAGGCTGGGGAGGGGCCTCCTGGAAGCAGGACAAAGGGCAGGAGATGGGGGCAAATCCCAGTAGAACTGGGGCCAGAGCACTTTTTCCTAGGGCTGTTGCTGCCAGTGGGTGGGCCTGAGGGAGGCCGGGCTGGGGGACTGGGGTCTCTTGCTTACTTCCCAGGTCCTTCAGACCCCTCTCCCAGAGCTCCCAGCCCACCAAGAGCCCTGTCTCCCCCTTACTCCTCTCACAGTTGGGCCCCGGATGACCACAGAGCCCCAATCCCTGCTCGTGGATCTGGGCTCCGATGCGGTCTTCAGCTGTTCCTGGACAGGCAACCCCTCCCTGACCATCGTCTGGATGAAACGGGGCTCGGGCGTGGTAAGTCCTCAGCTCACACCCCACAGGGGACCACCCGAACTGCCTTCTGGGCCCCTCTCACTCTTTGGCTAAGGGCATCAGCCTCCAGTGTAAGCTGAAGGAAGAAGGACCCCAGAAAGAAGAGAGGGAACCCCAGATACCCACATGTACCCCCTCAGTCCCAAACAGACTAACCATTGCAGTTTTGCCCTGTCACTAAACCTTAGAAGAAAAGCAGGTGGTCACCAATGTGCTGCCAGTAAAAAGTCTCTAGACAGCCTTTTCTACTTTCCCCGAATAGTTAGGCTATCCTTAAGCTTTTAAGTTAAGTTTCGCAGTCTTCCTGTGTTCCTCTTTTAAAATAAATAGGTTTTTTAGGATGTGTAAGTTTATCAGAAACCCCTCCCCTCAGGAGGCCCAGCGAGAGCCTTGGGAGGGAAGTCAAGGGTGAGGCAGACAGAAACTGGCCTCCGTGTGGCCTCCTGTGGGCCAGACATCACTCCATCCTGTGAGCAGGGCTGCCCCGTTGTAGAAATAAGAGCATCAGAGCAGATAAGAAACTGCCCCAGGCCACGCAGGTAGTCACCACCCAAGTCAGGATTTGAACTCAGAGTTAGCTAAGGCCAAAGTCTTTGGATCACCCCCAAACTCTATCCCAAAAGGATATTGAAAATGACTCCAAAAAGACTGGTCCAGGAAGGGCCAGCCGGGTACAGGTTGGTGGGCAGCCTGCCTGTGTTTGAGAAAGCCTCCAGGCCCCAGCCGGGGAGTACCCGCCCCCCAACTCCTTGCACACTCCCCCCTCCCAGCTGGTTTGCAGCTGTGGATCTCCCCTGGACAGCTCACGGGGCATACTGTCTCCCACCGCCCCCCCTGCGCCTTACTGCCATGCTGAAGACCTGGTCATTACGGCAGGCCCGCCTCGCAGCCCTTCTGGTTCTGGGAGACAGAAAGAGCCCGGCTCTGCTCTCCATGTCTGATCTTCTGCAATCCTCCCAGGTGCTGAGCAATGAAAAGACCCTGACCCTCAAAACCGTCCGCCAGGAGGATGCTGGGAAGTATGTGTGCCGAGCCGTGGTGCCCCGGGTGGGAGCCGGGGAGCGAGAGGTGACCCTGACTGTCAATGGTAAGGCCCCTCCCCAACTCATGCTAAGGGGATAGGAGGGGGCAGAGAGGGGCCCAAGGCATCTTGGTCCCAGGCATTGCCTCAGAGGGCCTGTCGTTGGCTCTGGGCCTTGCTTCCACCCCCAACCCTGGCTCCATAGCAGTTCTGTCCACCTCTTCAAGTCCGTGTCAAAGCCCAGGCCTGAGGTGAGGAAGGACCTGGCTAGTTGCGTCACCTTCCTCCTAAGGGGTCCCAGCCTTAGAAGTGGTAGCTGATGAATTTTATCCTGGCCAAGAGGAAAGGGTCAGAGGATCACTAGGCAGCCAACTTAGATCCCGTATCTACCCTCTGACCTTGACCTTGACCTTGGCCCTGGAGGGAATGTAAGGGAGCGTCTCTGCAACTCCTGGTTGGCCCCTTCCCGTTGCCTGATAGCTGCTCGGTCCGAGAGACCGTCACAATTTCCACAAGACCAAGCATTCAGAGGGTCCTCTTGAGGGCAGAGTCTTATCACTTACCATAAAACCATTATAGCAGGAGAGGGTTTTCAGATGTCCCCAGAACACAGAAGACTTAGGGGACAGAGTATTAGACCAGCATGGATGATGGCATATAGAAGGTCACAGAGAAGCTGGGTCAGACCCAGGAAGGCTGTAGCACCATGATGGAAATCTGACGTCCCTGCCATGGTACACGCTCAGGCAGGGTGGGCAACCAAAGCTGCTGTCTGGAGAGAGGGAGAAAAGCGAAGGCCAAGCCCCTCTGTTTCCAAACTTCCTTAGTTCACTGGGTTTTTGGTTCCCCTTTGCGAGCCCCCTGGTCCCACAGAGTCTGCCTCTGGTCAAAGCCCTGAGGCTCTGAGCCGCAGTGGGACCCTAGCCCCAAACCCACCTTTGCAGGGCCTCTGGGTCCTGGCCCCAGATCAGGGCCCTAAGGAGGGGTTGAGCCATGTTCTGGAAATCTGCCGTCCTGGCTTCACCTCCACCCAGGAAGCTGCCCACAGGAAGCCTCATCTATTCTCCCCCTTTGCTAGAAAACTAAAACAAGCTTGGTGCTTCCTCAGCCATTCCCCTCTGGCTTCCCCATTAGCCAGCCCCGCTCCACTGATTTCTTTTCCTCTCCTCCCCCAGAGTCCTGGCAGCCCCAGAGGGAGGGAGAATCTACTCAGACCCCGGGTGCACTCACAGGCCACCTGTCCTGGGCAGAACCCTGACTCAGGAGTCTTCCTGCCTTCCCCCTGGGTCCCCAGGACGCCACCAATAAATTGGCACTGCAGGGCTAAAAATAACAGCATCTGATCGCGCCTCCGTATATCCATGGCAACGCAGACTGCAGCCTTTTTCTGCTGCTCCGTGTCTGACACTGGGCTCAGGCGCCAGGCCCCGTGAAGGCAGTGGCCTCCCCTGCTGCCCGCTCTGGGTGCTGGCCCATGACTGTGGCCAGCTCCCGTCTGCTGGCCCCACAACCAGCCCAGCGGGGCTGGGGACCCTCCAGGGTCCCCAAGCCTGAAGCTTTTAAAGGAACATCCCCATTTCTGGGGAAAACCAGGTGGATAAATGAGGGACTGACATTCCATTGTCACTTTAGATATCCAGGCATTTCCCAGCAGGGACAAAGTGGTTTCTTGGGAAGGGAACACACACCTCGCACACCTCGGGTGGACATTTCTCTTGGAAGGGACACCCCAGCCTGGGCCCTGGCGGCTACACAGGGTTTGATCTGCACCCCCCAGGGATCGTGTGTCTATCCCCCTCCTCTGCCTCCAGTCCTTCGGCACAGGATCTAGGGATCGGCAGGAAGAGAACCGCCCAAGGGATTGGAGTGAAGCAAAGAGGCAGTTTGTTTCTGCTGAACTAGGGTCATCTCGCCCTGATGCAGGGGGATGGCTTAAGTGGCCAGGGGGGAGAACCGACGTGGGAGAGGAATGATCTAGAGAACAGGTGGAGGGATGGCGAAGCCCTTTGGAAAGGGGCCTGGGCTGGGCTGAAGGGACCAGACATTATGAAAGGATCCAAAATGAGATGGGGTCCTCCTCACAATACACCCCAGCTGGTGGGCGACCGCTGCCCACTGCCTTTTAGGGAGTAAATTGGCGCAGGTCTTGCCTGGTTTGGCTCAAACCCGGGATCTGCAGGGAGGGGAAGATTAACCACACTACCACTGTGCTTTGACTGCCCAACCCCACCTTTATTCTGATTTCTTTTTTTCTTCTAAGAAGCCCTTAAACACTTACCCATTTGCCTGATGGCTTTTAGAATGCCTGAAAACCCCCCAGAGAATTCCTAGTTCCTGGAAAGTGAAGGGGAAAAGGTTTTATGGTATCCTCACTTCCAGCCAGCAGCGAAACAAAGTGCCATCCAAGTTCCTAAAACATCAAGCCCTCCTGCCTTTTGGTCAAAGGCTTCTTGGAGCAAAAATACGTAAGAGAGACACTACACTGGGCTCAGCCCACGCTCAGAGCCACCTCGGGCTGGAAGCCGTTACCTGAAGGGTCCCCCACGTCCGCCGCATCCAGCTCCAAGCTGTTAGCCGTCCCAAACTCAGTAGCGTCACCTGAGTGTCTCCAGCACCCACCCACCCCCACCCGCTGGCTGAGAGCTAGTCATAGAAATGCAAATCTGTTTTAATTAAGGCGGCTAATAAACAGCAATTATGTCTGCAGCAATTTCTGTTTTGTTCCCAGCTTAATTTTGCCTGTCCTCCAGATCCCTTGCTCTAGCTCTTTCTCCTCCATTTTCGGCCACCTAAGAGCCAACCTTTTCCCTCAGGGATTGGGAAGGGGGCGCGAGGGTCTCCATCCCTACACCGCTTGCTTCAGCCGCCCCCGCCCCAGCCAGGAAGTTAGCTGAGCAAACAGCTGAATTCACTTCTCCTCCCTCCCCCCTTTCCGTGCCAGGTGGGCGTTGCGCGGGAAGGACTTGGGTGAGATAAAAGGCAGAACTGGACAGGAGGCACACTCTGAGACTGCAGGTGGACTCTCTAGGCTGTGGGAGGAGGTAGATACGACAGGGACTCTGGGAGACATCCATAAACATTTCTCCCCCTCTTACACACACACACACACACACACACACACCCACACACGCTGGACGGGATCGTGTCCTGATCAGCTTTGGAACCATGGTCTCACCTGGGCCGTATGGGTGCCTATCTGGAGGCAGGCAAGGCCGGGAACTACGGGACCTCCAAGACAAACGTGAGATGAAGGTTGTGAACCCGCCCAGCGCATTCCCCCTAAGCAGGGTGATCCCCCCTACCCCCCAGAGGAATGCGAGCATTTCCTTCTCTTCCTCCCGGTTCCTCCCGGCTTTGCTCGGCCCCGCGAGGGCACCCAGTTTGTTGGGCAAGCGCGCCCTCTCCTGGACATGGGCAAGAATGGCTCGAATGGAACAGCCCCCTAAGGCAGAGGTGGTATTAGTTAGAGAGGTAACATTACTTAGTATCCCTTCCTCCCCAACGCTTCCCCTACTCCCTTCTGAGGTTTCCCACCTCCTTCATAAAGCTTTCCCCACCCGCCAGGCAGAATGAGCCCCTCTCCTCTGAAGTCCGTTGGCACTCCATGTGTACGGCGCCGTGGTAAGAAAACTCACCACCTTTTATGGCGGTTATTTATGTCTTCTGGGCAGTCTGACTTAGAAGCGTTCGCTCGTCATCCCTTGAGACGGTTATGACTGACTGAACACTTAATTTATCTTTGAGTCCCCTGCCTTGCACTTTACCTTGCACATACAGGCCTCCAGGAAATGTGTGCTGAACGGTTGGATGAATGGGTCAGCTTCTGAACCCCGTCCCAGAAGGGTCCGGCCAGGCACCTGCCTTTGCTGATTCCCTGGTGTCATTCTGTCTCCCCAACAGGACCCCCCATCATCTCCAGCACCCAGACCCAGCATGCCCTGCACGGGGAGAAGGGCCAGATCAAGTGCTTCATCCGAAGCACGCCGCCACCCGACCGAATCGTGAGTGCTCTGGGGCAGGGAGCGGAGGGCTGGGGGACTGCCCTGGCGGCTCATCTCAGACCGCCCCTTACAACCACCAGGCCTCTGAGCTTCCCATCCTCCGTGGGGAAAGTTATACCTGCCTTGTCTCTCTGGGAAGGGCATCATGAAGACAGTATGCGCCCAGGGCTGGTCTGCAAGTGTCTTTAACTCTGCTCTGCTGTCCAGATGTGCCCTAACAGCAATAACAGGAATGCTTCCAGCCAAGTTCTGCGTCCTAGGAGCAGAGGGCCAAGTGAGGGTAGCAGAAAGGAATGCTAAGTGATTGCTTCCCTTTCCTGGGTTCAACGCCAGTCTTTGGCAAAATCCTAGACAGAGTGTGGTTTATGGTCGGCAACCCCCTTTCTTCACCCCCCCCCCCCAGAGTTCTCCTCTGTTAGCCTCCAGGTGCCCGTGGATTGCCCCGCCCCACTTACCAAGTTCTCCCCCCCAAAAGTATCATCCCATTGTCCCTCCCTTCTGCAAAACTCATCCCCGTCCCTGCAGTGCTTCTAAGGCCTCCTGAAGAGTTCACACTTGGGCCCTGCCAGGTGTTTGCTTTTGTAAAAGCCAGGGTCTTCACCCAAGTCCATCTGAAACCGGTGGGAGCCCAGGCACGAAAACAGAGAAGGGGAAGCATTTTCTAGCATTAATGGAAGTCAGATACTATTTTTAGTGGTCCCCGATGCCTAGCGTAGTCCTGATAGAAGACTGCCCCAGGGTCAACTCCACCAGGGAGGACGTAGGGGGTGCACACTGAGCAACCGGGGCGTGAGCGTGCCAGGGGCTGGGATGTTGAAGCTGTAAACGCTCAAGGTGTCATCCTGTAAACTCCGATACGGTTAGGGCATCACGTGCGTTACACACTTTTTCAGGCATTCGGCTCATTCACTGTCTGAAAAATTCACACACAAATTGCAAGAAGTCATACATAGAACTAATGCCCCTGTTCCCTTCACCCTTTAATTTTTTTTAAGTTGTAACTGTAACCCATGCCCATCAGAATAACCCATTCACTATTGAGCGTGTTCGCACCATCTTTCTTTTCATAGAGATCTAACTCTTGGCCTGCGGTTCTCAATGGGACAAGTTCCCCTCCCCCCACCCCCGCCCAGGGGACATTCGGCATTGTCTGGAGACATTTTTGGTTGTCACAATTCAGAGGGGTGCTACCAGCATCGAGCAGATGTTGGCCAGGGATGCTGCCAAACTTCCCACAATGCACGAGCCAGCCCCCACAACCAGGAATGTCCCAGCCCAGAATGTCACCAGTGCCAAGTCTGAGGAAGCACTGGCACCTCACCCACCACCGCCGAGTGCTTACCTGCAGAGATTGTCACTTTCTCCCGGATGCCGCAAGCCGGGCCTGTGTGCCCGGCGCTCACACGCTGACAAATGCAGAAAGGCTCCGAGAAGAATTCCACTCTCAGCCTTAGAGACTAAGACAGGTTAAGATGGTCATGAGCACAATTCTTGGAACATATGTTTGTACCAAGGAGCAAAGTGACAAAACTAGGCTCGGTCACTCTGGGGCTGGTCTTCTTCTCCCACCTGCCAGGGCAGCCGAGGGCCCGCCGAGGGCGGGGGGCTCCCATCGCTGTCACAGGGTTCCCTGTCTGCCCGGAAGGTGTCCCAGGGAAGAGCCACAGAAGGCCCCCTGTCCATGGAAATGCCCTCCGGGGTGGCCCAGCCTTCGTGTACGCGTGCATGGTTATGTGCGTGTGTGGTCTGGTGTGTGTGTTGTGATGTGCGTTGATGTGTGTTGTGTGCACACATCTGTGGCATGTTGGGATGCGTGTGAGGACCCGTGGGCATGATGCTGCTGGATGCGAGCCTGGCAGCTTCCGGCCTGGAGCAGGGAGGTGGCAGGGCGGCGCTGGCGGCGGGGTGGGGGTCTCCTCCTCACTCTGCGCACCTCGGACAGGCCTGGTCCTGGAAGGAGAACGTGCTGGAGTCGGGGACGTCGGGGCGCTACACGGTGGAGACGGTCAGCACCGAAGAGGGGGTCATCTCCACGCTGACCATCAGCAACATCGTGCGGGCCGACTTCCAGACCATCTACAACTGCACCGCCTGGAACAGCTTTGGCTCCGACACAGAGATCATCCGGCTCAAGGAGCAAGGTGGGGGCCGCCAGGGCCACCAGGGGATGACAGGACCGGCAGGGCCCCAGGCAAGGTCTTCCAGGGTCTTGAACCAACAGAGCCCAGCTGAGGCCACAGGCAGGTTGAGCCTGAGGACAAGCCACAGAGCACTTCCTAACTTGTTCCACAGCCTTGGTCAGGTCACAGGAAGTGGCCCTCTGTGGTCCAGTTCCCCCAAGGCCAAGGCACACCAGGAAAGGAAAGGGGGAGGAAACCTGCTTAGGTTGGTGGTTCTCCAGGATGGTGTTTCAGGAAAAGGTGACCACAGAGCAAGCCAAGCTGATTGCCATGAGGAGCCTTCCAGCAGCTTCTAAGGGCCCTGGCTTCTGTGCACTCGGCATTTCCCTAGTGTCCTTAGGGGGGTGTCATCCATTGAGGAGTGTCCCTGTGGGGGTACACCAGGACGGATGTGTTGGGGAACCTGGCCCAGCCCATTAAGACAATAAGCCAGTCTGGTTCCCCAAAAGTCCCCCAGAGGGTGCTCATGCTAAGCTAGGCTGCCCCCAACCCCTGGTACAGGTTCAGATCCCCTGCAGTTCCTCCAGGACCATAGAAGACCTATGGACCACTGTGCTCTGAAGGGGACACTGGCCAGAGGGCAGCGCTGGGCAGGAGGGCTCAGAGCTGCTGGGCGGGCGAGGAGGCGGGGCAGGAAGGCTCATCCCCCCTGTGACCCCATGTACAGACTGCGCATCTCCTGGTCAGAGAGATGCTGAGAACTCTAGTCTCCGCTTCAAGGTCTCACGCGGACCACAGGCTGGGAGCGTCCGAGGGGCACCGCAGGGTGGCTCTGAGCTGCTCGGCAGACAGCCAGCAGTACACAGGGCCTGAAATGGGCTGCAGATCTTGCCCCTTTGCCAGGGGGGCTCAGTCTATGGCAGACAGGGCGGTCCAGGCTCCTCGGCCCTGGCAGTGTCCAACCCCTCCAAGATGCAGGCGCACCCACAGGCTGTCAGGGCCTGGCAAGAGATTCTGGGCCAAGCAGGTGGTCTCAGCTGGACTCCTCGGACCTCAGCGCTACCCTGCGGATCAGTGTCTCCCTACACCTCTTCACTAATAGTGCTGCTTTGCATAATGCTTTGCACATAATTTGCATACTGTCATCCACACATCATCCTAAACCCTCCCAGTCCCCCGTTGCTTGCCCTCCATGTCTTCCCCTGAGTGCCCCACCCCCATGCCCTCCCCTTAGTGTTCTCACCCCACCCTCTCCAGACACCCCCCTCCTCCCAAGCCTTAACTTCTCTCTCTGGTCCCTACCCCTCTGGAGTCTCTTCTAAGTCAGTCTGAAAGAACGCCCCGTTCAGTTCAGCTAGCCTGGGTCTGTTGGGTGGTCCCGGAAACATGAGAGAGGAGGGAGATCCTCATCCCGATCCCCACCAGGTGGCTGGCCCCAGGCCCACCCCACCCTGGCCAGCCAGGCCCTGGCTGTGGACGCTTGCTTTATTTCCAAACAGGTTCGGAAATGAAGTCGGGAGCCGGGCTGGAAGCAGGTACGGAAGGAGACATGAGAACTCCCCGGGCTGGGAGGAAGGGACCTCTGGGCTAGTGGGGGAGGGACCCTAAAGGGGTAGGGAGGCCTGTGCAGGCCACTAACTTCTCTGCCCTCCCCCCACCTCCAGGCTTTAGTGCAGCCAGAGCAGGGAGAGGGGTTCCCAGCCAGCTGGGGCTAGAGACCCCAGAGACCTATCTCTTCAGTCGCCGATGCCAGAGCCCACAGGCTGCTGGCAGCCCAGGACACCGGCTCTCACTCCTCCCCCTCTGTCCTCCCATCCCGTCTCTTCGGAAACCCTGGCTCCTCCCCTCTGGGTTCAGCTCGCCCCTGGCCTGGCCTCCCTCTGTTTCCAGGCTCTCCCAGACTCTTCCTGCTTCTCAACATCATCACCAGCTTGGCCATGCTTCCCAGGACGCCAGGGCCTCCCAGCCCCTGGGCCTGCATAATCCATGCTAATCCATGCTTTCTGCTCGCTGCCTCCTCCCCCTACTCCTGCCTGCCTTTCCCCCAGTGAAGTGTCATCCACCCCCCAGGCTGAGGCTGCGGGGCAGTGCCTCCCTCCCCACGTGCCCAGCAGCAAGGTGGTCCTCAGGCTCCCAGGGTTAAGTTGCTCTGTCTTAGGATCCCACACGCGACCACCGCCTCCACTCTCCAAGCAGAAACCCAAAAAGAGAATCAGGACGTTGCAAGCCAGACTCCAGGGGGCCGACAAGGGCCATGAGCAAGATGTGGGGGTCCTCTGCCACATGGACACTGAAGGAGCTAGGGCCCGCCAGTCCCTTCATCAAGCTCCTTGTGGGGCCCACACACCCTCCCCTCTGGGCAGATCTGCCCTTTAAGAGCACCCGTCTGGGCCCAGGCAAGTTCCCAGAGGAAGCACATGGACCCCTGCTGTATTCTCCCTCAGAACCACTCCTGGCGCGGGAGGTAGTTTCTTGTCTTCTTGTCTCCATGTCACCCGTCTGTTCACACTCACCTGCAGCTCCCTGACACCTTCTTTCCTGGCTGAGACTCCTCATGCCCAGTTCCCCTCCTTGTTAGGAGGGGAGGCTGAGCAGGAGGGTGGCTCCTTCCTCCGGCCCCTCTCCAGGGAACATCCAAGAGGGACAGCCTGCCCAGGCGGCCTTGGCCAGAGCCCAGGTAGCCAGGCAAGGAGGAAACACACACAGACGGGCTGCAGAGGGACTGCCACCCCAATGGTCCCCCTGACCCCAGCAGACCCTCCCTCTGCCCCAGCCCACCCACTCGGAGACAGTTCTCCAGATAAGATGGTGCCGTTTAACAACTGAAGGAAATGTGGCCTCACAAGATGCCAGGGTCAGAAGTCACCTTAGATACTGTTTCCTGGTCCTCTAGTTGGACGGGAGAGACAGCGAGGCCTGGAGAGCTTAAGGAGCCTTCCACAGTCATCCTTTGGCTTTGAGCTCAGCTGAGACAAGACTCGAGTTTTTCCAAGGAGACTTACTAGGAATCAAGGAGGAACCAAATCGAGCCCAAATTAATAAAATTCAAAAGTACAGAGCCAATGAGCTTCCAAAGCAGTTTTCCTTGCCTAACAGAACTAAAACCCAAAGACAGAAATCATCTACGTACCAAAGCAAGCTCAGGGGTCTGACTGAGGTCTACTGAGGTAGGTCCCCTTTGTCACTCCTGACTGTTGAGACCAACCCAGACACCTCCCATTTTCAATCCCTGCATATTCTCCGCAACCCCCCTTCTCCTGTCCCCTCCCCTGCCACTCTCATAGCGGTCTCGGCCACCAACAGGCAGCTGTACTGTTGTGCACATCCAGCCTAGCCACCAACGCTGCCCACCCCGGGCACCTGCTCCTCCCGCGAGGGGCCAACCCGCCGCCACCGCCCAGCTGCACCTCCACGGGCCGGGGCTGGACGGTTTCTTCCTCTCTTCCCCTCTTTAAAGCAAACAACAGCAATGAGAAGCTAACCCACAGCCCAAGATGAAGTCCCAGACATCCTGCAGTCATCCACACTGACAATGTGGGGCAGGTTAGGGGGCAGGGAGCTCAGGCTCTAGAAGGAATTTTCTTCTCATTCAAGGTTCTGACCTTGCTACATTTCTCCTACCCCTCCAGAAACGGGAGCAAACACTCGACTAGGACTGGTGCCAGGCTCAGTTTCAAGGCCTTTCCTTGCAATCACTCATCGAAACCCTGTAACCACCCCCTGAGGTGGGCATTGTAATGATCCCATTTTAGAGATAGAGAGGTGAGGTAAGTTGCTCAGAAAAGGTGCTGGCGTCTGGGCTGTCCAGAGCACGTGAACTTTGGAGGATGCTGTGTGATATAGCAGACGGAGCTGGGGAGCAAGAGGAGGCTGGGATTTGCCCTGGCCTTCTGCAGCTCTGTGTCCTTGACTGAGTCACGCGACCTCTCTGGACCTCAGTGTTTCCATCTATAAATGGGAGGTTTGGATTCAGCAGGCCGTAAGGTCTCCCTGCCCCCAAATTTTCTAATTCTATTCCCAATGGACTATTCAGGGCTCCCAATCCTGTACTCCAGCCCACTTGTAGCCACAGAAGGGCCAGGGCTGTCTGGAAGAGCACACACACAACCCCCCACCCCATATACCTTCCCCATCCGCATCTCCACCAGGCTAGGGCACTGAACAGATAAATTCAGCAGGGAGTGAGGGGCTTGCCTAGCTGGAGTTCTGGGCCCCTCGAAGACAGGGCTACCAGGATACCTGGGGACTGGCCTGGGAGGAGAAGGAGCAGAACTGGGGGTGGGGGGCCAAGGAAAAGGAGCATTTCTCCTTAGAGAGGTGGGGGGTGAGCTGCGATCCTGACCGCCCCCCTTGCAGCTAAGACTTGGGCCTCTGGCAGCTACTACCCCGATTCCCGGCAGGCCCGTGAGGACAAGCTGCCTCAGGCCTGAGAACTCTCTAAAAGCTGGTGGTCCATGTCCATCCTCTGCACCTGGGAACGGGAAGAGAAGGAGAGCACAAACCAGGCAAACAAGGGAAGTGACCGTAGTCGTTTTTCAAAAAAAAAATAAAAAATCCAGGACTTTCTACTCTCCAGCCCACGCATGATAGACTATTCCTGGTTTAGTACAGAAGGGAGCTAAAGGGTACCCCAGCCTTGCTTCTCATCTCCAGGTAGCCCTCCCTGGCCCTCCCCTCCCCGTATCTGCTTGCCTCCCTCCCCACCCACCACTGCTCCCCTCTTCCCCAGTCCCTCACACGCCCTCCTCGGTGGAGGTGACCCCTGTTGGAACTCTGCCTGGGCCTGCCCAGGCCCCACTCCCACCCCTCCCCAGGCACTTCCTAGGAGGGCCTGAGTGCAGGTGTCTGGCCCCAGGGGCTGCCCCCGAGGAAACTGGGGAAGGCCCTCGTGGGGAGAGTGGGCTGTCCCCGATTTCCCATCGGCTGTGCCTGCTTCTCTCCCACAGAGTCTGTACCGATGGCCGTCATCATCGGGGTGGCCGTAGGAGCTGGTGTGGCCTTCCTCGTCCTTCTGGCAACCATTGTGGCCTTCTGCTGTGCCCGCTCCCAGAGAAGTACGGGAGGGAGACCCGGGATCTCAGGGAGGGGGACAGAGAAAAAGGCCAGGCTTAGACTGCTCCGGAGAGCAAGTAAGCAGGAGTGCCGTGAGCAGGGGGCCCTAACCCGCTGGGGTAGGGATGGGGTCTTTGGCATCTTCTTACGTGCAGTGCTTTGCGTGGTGCGTGGCACGTAGTGGGCACGCAACTGATGTGGAACTGGACGGAAGTGAGCTTCGTCTGCCAAGGCCGTCGGCCAGCACTTGGGATTGAGCACCTATGGCTGGATGGAACCGTGGAGAACTCTGGGAGGGGGTTGGGGGAGAGGTGGCTTGATCCTTGCGCTCCAGGTTCTGCTAGTCTAACCAGAGAAGTAGGTCAGCCACACGGAGGGGGAGAAAAGCCCTCAAGGAGTCCCTCTGTGAAGACTTTTAAAGGTCTGCAGTCACTAGCGATAAAATTCTGGTGCCCGAGCACTCTGGAGGAATCACGCGGCCCTGGAGTTCCAGCCCGAGCGCAGCTCTGACGCTAGTTGTCACGGGCGCGATGCGCGGAAGTATAAACTGGGAGGACTGCGTGAAGGACACCAGTGGGGACGCGGGCTTCTAGCCCCGCCTTTTTCTGCCACCAATGGGGCTCGCGCTTCTAGCCCCGCCCTTTTTTGCCACCAATGGGGGCTCGGGCTCCTAGCCCCACCTTTTTCTGCCACCAATAGGGGCTCAGGCTTCTAGCCCCGCCTTTTTCACGCGAGTCTGGGCAGGCCGCAACTGTTCCCGGCCTCGGTTTCCTTGCGTGTAATAGTAAGGGATTGCGTGATGAGACTTTTATGACCCCACTGGCTCTAACGTTCGATGATCCTAAGGCACAAGATGAATAATCAGAGGAAGCCGACTCCCTCCACCACTTGGATGTGTTAGAAGAAAGCGGGGTGTCCCCAACTAGGTCTCCTCCACCCCAAGCCTAGCAGCCATGGCTCTCCTGCTTGCCCCCGGTGATGTGGTCTTGGAAGCTCCCTGACCACCCTCTCAGTGGAAATCATAGGGGAGCATGTTTTAGCAAGAGTCTTCTACAGAGCTCCCTGACTCTCAATCAGCTGCCTCCCCTAGAAGCCTGTAAAGTCTCCACCACCGAAGCATTGACCCAAGAGCTGGACCGCCACGTGTCAGGGATGTGTCTGCTTTGGGCGGGGGATGGACCATGGGACCCCAAAGCCCCTTCTGACAGTAAGATTAGCGATTCTCTGAATGGAGAGAGAAGAGCCTGGTAGAGTAGGCCAGGGAAGACTTCTAGAAGGAAGATAAAAAGGACCTAGCTCTGTGAGGCAGATGAACGGATGAGGATGGCCTCTCAAGCCAGGGCAGCAGAGTGGAAGGCTGAGGTGCACCTAACACGACCCACAGAGAAAGAGAGCTGAAGCCCCAACAGCCCACAGCACATCCAGACAGGTGTTCTACTGGGGTGGGCGGCGGGGGGGCGGGGGGGGGCTGGAAGCTACTGAGTTCAGGGGCTGGAGGGTGAACCCTGGGGGCGGAGGTGGGGGGAAGTGGGGGCTTGACATCTCAGGCCCTGACGCCTGAGGATGGACTGAACCTGTCATCTACACTTTCCTATTTTACGTCCAGATCTCAAAGGGGTTGTGTCGGCCAAGAATGACATCCGAGTGGAGATTGTGCATAAGGAGCCTGCCTCTGGCCGGGAGGCTGAGGAACACCCCACCATCAAGCAGCTGATGGTGAGAATGCCATCTTATCCCCACCCCATCCCGACCTCTGTGCCCCGAAGGTCCTGGTCCCAGAGGCTTCTTGGTGGCCTGGATGCTCCCGAGAAGCAGAGCATCGGTCAAGATGTGCCCTCCCCCCATAATAGGTCAGGCACCCACTCTCCGCCAACGAAGAGTTATTGTCTGTCTGCTACATTGCACTTGGTGTTCTGGGAGACTCAAAGCCATCTAAGATGCCGTCCCAGCTTTCAAAGAACCTGACTGTTCAGTAGAGAGACAACACATGCATAAAGTGCCATAATATGTTGTCACTTAGTACATAATTCTATACACACATGAATATGATAGATATTCAGTACATGCCCTGCCCCTCCCCCAAAGCCAGCCCCAAAAGTCTACAAGAAATACAGGTTCCTCTTCAGGAACCGGAGTACTTACCAGAAGCAAACTCATAACTTCACTTCTTCAGCAAACCTAAGCCTGCCCCTCCTCTTCCAGATTCCTGTTACTTGACCATAATCCACCCAGCTGTACAAGCAGGAACCTGGGAAACTGTGCTAGAAAACTCTAGGGCATACTATGTCATGGTTCAAATACCTTGAGGGAGTAGCAGCAAGCCCGGGGGTGAAGAGCAGGGAGCCTGCCTGTGCCTCAGTCTCCCCACCTGTGAAGTGGGGATGAAAGTCATAGCGCACAAGGCCGTGGTGACGGCCGAATGAGTAAACCCATAAAGGGCTTGGAGCCTGTAGAACACAGTAAGTGCTCAGGACATGTTAGCCACTGTGTGGCTGTAAAATCACCCTTTCCCTTATCTGTCTCCGCTCTGGTGAGCAAGCTGCCTTGTTCATCCCCGAGACTCGAAAGACTCGCAGCCCCTGGTGGAAGCTCACCAACGTGATTGAGCTGAACTGACATTTTCCTCACCGGGTCTTTTTCTTTCCAAATTTCATTCTCTGGTCCTTTCAGTTCCACTTCAGAAACTTTCTCAAAATGTGTGCCCTTGCCCCTGTCCCCTTATGACTTCCCCAATGGGGCCTCATCGTGGCTCCCTGGACTAATACTACAGCCTAATGGTCTCACCACCTTTTTTTTTTTTAACCACCTTATTCAATCCACCCTCCAGAGTCCCACAAAAAGGGTCCTTCTAGAATGCAAATTGGATCCTGTTACTATCCTACTTAAAATCCCTCAGTGGCTCCCCCTGTCTACTAGATAAAGTCCAACCACCAAGCGTGTCATCAGGCCCTTCATGGAGAGGTGGCAGCTGCTGGCCTTTCCAGCCCCATCTTCCTACTAAATGGACCCGGCCCTCCAGACATCCCAAAAACTTGCTGTTCCCAGCTTTTGAGTCTTTTATACCTCTGAGGCTTTACACAGGCCTGTTGAGCTTGCCTATTAAATTTCACATTTTCTGGGCACCTGGGTGGCTCAGTTGGTTAAGCGACTGCCTTCGGCTCAGGTCATGATCCTGGAGTCCCGGGATCGAGTCCCACATCGGGCTCCCTGCTCAACAGGGTGTCTGCTTCTCCCTCTGACCCTCCTCCCTCTCGTGCTCTCTCTCATTCTCTCTCTCGCAAATAAAAAAAAAAAAATTTCACATTTTCCTAGGAGAATCAGCTCAAATGTCACTTCCTCCATCATTGTCCATGCTTGTCCCTCCCCCTCTGCTGGCAGAGCTACACACTTCCTGCTCTCCTCAAACATGTTGCGTGCTCCTCTTTTATAGAGCATTGCTGGATTACACGTCAGCTCCCCAAATATCTCAAAGTTCCAGAAGGGCACATTCCCAAATCTATGCGTGTCTGTTTCCCCCAGGCCAAACACAGTGCCTGACACAGGAGAGCAATTAATCTTACAAGAGTGGAAACCAGAGCCTAGATCCAAGAAGGAATGGATGTCTCTGTAGATGAGCTTCATCAAGGCTGGTGTGGAAATATCCTGACCTGTCCTTCCTCCCAAAAAGGACTTTGAATTCCCTCCCATTGGGACATCCTGATTGCCTCAGAGTGTCTGCACACCCTGTAATCCAAACCCTTGAGAAAGAGTGGGCGTCACTCAATAGTCAGTTAAGAGGGTGTGTGGGGCGCCTGGGTAGCTCAGTTGGTTAAGCGACTGCCTTCGGCTCAGGTCATGATCCTGGAGTCCGAGGATCAAGTCCCGCATCGGGCTCCCTGCTCGGCAGGGAGTCTTCTTCTCCCTCTGACCCTCCTCCCTCTCATGCTCTCTGTCTCTCATTCTCTCTCTCTCAAATAAATAAATAAAATCTTAAAAAAAAAAAAAAAAAAGAGGGTGTATGAGGTTGGGTCGGGGGAGGGACCCTGGCAGAGGGACCTGCTGGGAGCCTCCCCTCCCCCACTCCCTCCACCCCCTGGCCCCTGAAAGGCCGCAACATTGATGAGAGGCAGGCTTAGAAGTTAAATCTGGTGGGAAAGCCCTCCAATTCAGGCAGACACAGAACATTTACCGGAGCCCAACCGGAAAAAAGCAGCCTCAGTGAGGGTGAAACAGAATGGAAATCCTCTGGCTGATGCCATGAGACTCCAAAAAGAGACCAAGAAAGTGAGTCACAAGGGAGAAGAAACATCCCAGCTCAGAGAGTGGGTGGGAGGCTGTCCTAGATCATGTCATATGCAGAAGTGCCACCCGGGAAGCATCTGTGTGCCACAGGATAAGTGAGCGTCACTGTGGTTATCCAGATTCATGTACCCACCGTGTGCCAAGCATGCTTGATTTTCCACCTTCCATCTAACTGTTACTTTCATGTTCAGTGATCGAGAGCTATGCCATTCCATTCATTCATCCAACACAAACATAACGTTTGCAACAGCCCTATGGTCTATCAGGCACTGTGCTAGGCATGACAGATTAAAACAGTTACCTGTGATTTCACCCCAAAAGCATTTTGGTCAATGACCACAATAGACAAGGTGCCGTGCCAGGTGGATTGGGGACCCAAAGAGAAGCTGGAAGTGATCCTTGCCCCGAGGTTCTTTGGCCTCTGTTAGGAAGGTAACATTTAGTACATCGAAGCCATTGCTATGAATAACAGGTGTGGCCCACGTTGCCGGCATCTCACAGGTAGTCCTGCACTGTGATTCTTTCCTAAGACCTTCACGGAGCCTAGCACTGGGTGATGAGCTGCCCTGCTGGGACCCCAGCCTGTGCCCTCTGAACCCAGAGGTTCTGTAATTATTTGTCTACAGACCCAGCTCCCTGTTGTGTATAGCTCTATCTTAATGTCCCTCAATGTGTGTATGCCTGGCCCAAAATTCAGTAAATGCTCAATGAATTGAATTGAATCATCCAAGTGAGATCTCTGGAAGTCATGCCCTAGCCCAAGGGAAGAAAGTGTGGACTTAGCATACTGCACCCCCGCCCCCCCCCACACACACTCTTCCTGTCTCTCCCTGTCTCTCAGGACGGGGATCCAGGAACAATGAGGACATCTGGGATCTCCCCATGCCCCCATGCCAGCCAGGGAAAGGAGGTGGGGAGGGGGAGACAGAGATGGCAAGCTTCTTTTGAGTTCATTTCTCTATCTTTTCCTTGGGGGAAGTGGACACTTAGCCCACCTCCAATCCACTGAGCAGCCATTTTCGGGTTGTAGATGGACCGGGGTGAATTCCAACAAGACTCAGTACTGAAGCAGCTGGAGGTTCTCAAAGAAGAGGAGAAGGAGTTTCAGAACCTGAAGGTAAGAATAGCCACAGGCTGGAAGTCACAGCTGTGGAATCCTGACTTCAGCCCTGACGCCTTAAGGCCCAGATCCAGAAAACAAGGACGGGCAACGAGGGGGCCAGAGGTCACCTTGAGGACAGGTGCCTATTCTCTCTCTCTCTCCCGGAGGTGGGACGCTCACCTGCCCCAGGAGGCGGGAGAGTGAAGGCTGCGGCCCCACGGTCTTCCTCTCCCACAGCTTCCTCACAAACACCGTTTTTATTTTTTTTTTATTTTATTTTTTTTTAAAGATTTATTTATTTATTTATTTGAAAGAGAGAGAATGAGAGAGAGCACATGAGAGGGGGGAGGGTCAGAGGGAGAAGCAGACCCCCCGCCGAGCAGGGAGCCCGATGCGGGACTCGATCCCGGGACTCCAGGATCATGACCTGAGCCGAAGGCAGTCGCTTAACCAACTGAGCCACCCAGGCGCCCACAAACACCGTTTTTAAATTAAGTAGCCATGTTCTGGGCAAAAACACAAAAACCCTTCAAGTTCGGCTTCGCCGCCGCCTTTGCCCCGGCCCGACCTAGTGCCACGTGGCGCGTGGAGCGCCCCCTGCCGCATGCCCTCGGCCTCTCGCCCCCCCCCCCCCCCGCGGCCGCCGCAATCCCCGCCCGCCCCTGCCGCCTTCCAGCCGCCGGCCCGAGCCCGCCGTTGTCCCCTTCCTCCCCGTGCCAAGGAGGACCGCCTCGAAAGGCTGTGCCCGCCGGGTGACGCTGCTCTCGCTCTGGCCCCCTCCCAGGACCCCACCAATGGCTACTACAGCGTGAACACCTTCAAAGAGCACCACTCGACCCCCACCATCTCGCTCAGCAGCTGCCAGCCGGACCTGCGCCCCGCGGGCAAGCAGCGCGTGCCCACGGGCATGTCCTTCACCAACATCTACAGCACCCTGAGCGGCCAGGGCCGCCTCTACGACTACGGGCAGAGGTTCGTGCTGGGCATGGGCAGCTCGTCCATCGAGCTCTGCGAGCGCGAGTTCCAGAGGGGCTCCCTCAGCGACAGCAGCTCCTTCCTGGACACGCAGTGTGACAGCAGCGTTAGCAGCAGCGGCAAGCAGGACGGCTACGTGCAGTTCGACAAGGCCAGCAAGGCCTCTGCCTCGTCCTCCCACCACTCCCAGTCCTCTTCCCAGAACTCCGACCCCAGCCGACCCCTGCAGCGGCGGATGCAGACTCATGTCTGAGGATCCCAAACCGGCGCTGGGGGGGGGGGGGGGGCTGGGGAAGCGGGGGGGGGGGGGCGGGGAGCATGCCACCTTCTGGCTCTCCAGAGACTGTGGGTGCTTTGCAGAGGACCCCAGAACCGGCCGCCTCCAGGACAGCACCCCCCCCTCCCCCGCCGCCACCCGTGCCTCTGCGACCGCCCTCCTCGGAAGCCCTGATCAAGCACAAACCCGGGTCCCCAGCTGCAGCGTGCCAGAGGCGGGCGGGGGCGGGGGGGGGGGGGGCGCGGTCGGAGGATGCAGCTGAGTGCGCTGTGCTCGGTGCTGGGCCCTCCGGTCCGGCCCTTTCCTGGAGGCCCTCCCCCTACAGGCACTCGAGGCAGCTAGAACTTTGCTTTAATGAAACTGCCGTCCACTCTCCGGCCTCCCCCTGCGCTCTACCCCTTGCTGCCCACAGCCCTACCCCTGTACCTATTATCCTCCACAATGCTGGGGAGAAGGAGGGTGAAGCGCGTCCCAGCACCAGGCTGCCCCCCCAACCCCCCCCCAGCGCCCCCTGCTGCTCAGAGCCCAGACCCTGGATGCTGAGAAGCCAGAAATGGCCCCAGAGCATCTCTCCCGCCACACTGGCCGTGAGCCCACCCCCAATTTGTTCGGTGTTTTGTGTCCATACTCTTGCAGTTCTGTCCTTGGACTTGAGGCCTCTGAACTCTGAGGTGGGACTGGCCCAGTCGGAGACTGGTGTCCTGGGAGGGAGAGGGAGGGGTAGGAGGGAACATGGCCGCACCTGGGGAACCTCGCCCAACACTCCCCTCGCCAGGCTGTGCAGTTCAGAGCCTCCCCAGCCACCCCTGCTTCCTGTACTGTCCTCTTGCCCTCCAGCACAATCGGGGTTAATATAAGTGTGAGAGTTTCTCTGGGCCGGGGTTCTTCCAACAGTCATTGCAGAGAGTGTTTCCTGGAGCACGTAGGGCTTAAGGGGACTAGAGGTCAGGTCTTTAAAATGATGAGACTTGCCTTCTCAGCTGCTGAATCTCAGGGGCCTAGATCCACACAAGGAACTGGCATCCTCCACCTCAAGTCCCCAGGCGACCTGGAAAGACCGCACTCCTGGGAAACAAAGCTATCCTGTGTATCCAGTCACCCCCACCCCCACCCAGACCAGTATCCAGTTTTCTGATACCCAGTTTTCTGATAGTGTTAAAATTAATTATTGGCTCCCAGGCCCTGGGTGGGAGCCTGGTTTCTGATTCTCAGGCTCGCTACCAGTGGGTACAAGGAACAATTGCCCTGGCAAGAGGGAAAGTCCATCTACACATCACCCCGTCTACTCACCACCTGAAAATAAATATTACGGCCGTTACGCCACCATATCCATTCTGTCCTTTTGTTCCTGCAGAGCCACGGGAAGAAGCCAAGAGTTCAGACAGAGTATGCTCTGGGAACACAAGGTTCTTTGCCCTTCTTTGATTAACTGTCCTAGATAATGAAAGCAAGTGATGACTTGGTTGTGGTGGCAACAGCCCCTACAGGCAGGCTCCTCTCCCTGTGGACGGCCTCAGCCCAGAAGGTGTGCAAAGGCAGGGCCCATGCCAAATACAGCACAGAGGCAACGTGGTCATACTGGGCTTTTGCGGGGGGGGGGGGGGGGGGTCATTCTAGGCCTTTCTCTCAGCAATGTTCTGCAAGGGAAGTTCCCTCTGTTAGGGGTTCAGGGCAGGAGGCGCTCTTCAGAGCCTCAAATAATGTCAGAATGGCCTTGTTTGAATGGAAGACTCCAGGTAGTGATGGCAGACCAGATGGGATGGGCAGACAGGGGCAAGTTAGAGTGCTGGCTGAGGAGCGGGATCCAAACGGAGCTTTGGAAAACCCAAAGTGTCTCTAAGGTTGGAGGTTCCTCCTAGGTTAGACTCCTTCTTGTCCAACCTTCCCCAGTAATCCTTACCCATCATATGAACCTGCACCTCAAAAGTCTGTCCTTCTTTTCATATATACTGATTCCTTGGATGGCCCCAACCACAGATTCTATATATAATCTTCATAACGCCTCCACCCAGAGGAATGTCCTGCTTCTACCATATTTCCTATTGCTTCAAAATTCCCCAGTTCCCTAGATAACTTCCTCTGCAACACTTTATACACACATGATCTCCCCTGTGAAATATTTCCACCTAAAACACAAACTCAAGGCTGCGGTCATCCTAGAATATGATGCAAATGGCTGACGGTAAAGGCCACCTGCTAGTTCCCACTCTGGGGCGGGCTCAGCAAGGAGGGACCACAGCTCCATTAGGAAGGCGGGTGGGACTGGCATCCTCCACCTCAAGTCCCCAGGCGACCTGGAAAGATCGCACTCCTGGGAAACAAAGCTATCCTGTGTATCCAGTCACCCCCACCCCCACCCAAACCAGTATCCAGTTTTCTGATAGCGTTAAAATTAATTATTGGCTCCCAGGCCCTGGATGGGAGCCTGGTTTCTGATTCTCAGGCTCGCTATCAGTCTGGAAAGCCCGGGGTCATTTCCAGTACCTCTTCAACTTTCATGGAACAGGAAACACTCTCACAGGATGAGCTAGAATACCACAGCAAATCCGTTTCTGATGAAGCTGATTGAACCAAGTGCTCTAAAGTAATAGGGCCTCAAAGCTGCCTTTGAGCTTCCGGAGTGGAGAGGACCCGGGGAAAAAGAAAATAAACATGAGGCCATCCTTAGGAGGCTTCTCAGAACAGGAGAAAAGGAGCCAACGGGAAATCCATTTCTCACTGCCTGCATGGGAGGGACACGGGGGTGTAAGTCATGTGCCATTATGGAACTTGAACCAAAATCCCAAGGTCCACACCCTAGGTTCCATTAGCTCTGCCCAGGTATCCTGTGTGCAGTTTATGAGGGCACCAGAAAAAAAGACCAAGGCGGGGTGGGAGGGGGAGTCCTGCCATTAGTTTATGCTCTAGGAAGGTTCCCTACAAAATAAACTCTTTATTAAAATTAGAAGTATAAGTAATTTAAATAAAAATGATCTTAATTTGTATAGAGATTTTTATTTAAAATACCACCTGCTGTGCTTAAGACTAAGGACATCTCCGCTAAATCTTAAATTTTACTTCCCTTTTAAAAACCCTCTTATCTAAGTTGTTTTTAGGAGATGTAACTGTATACCAGCCATTTATTTGCAGCTTTAGCATCAAAATTACCAGCGCCTTTGAGAATCACTGATAAGGAGCTCTTGCTCTCACTCTGATGGTTACTTGTTATTAGTGGTAAGGCTCCAATCATCTTTTCCCCAAACCCCTATGTTTCAGTCTAACTAGGTCATAAACTGGGGGAAATGAGACAATTTCAAGCTAGTCGTCTGTCTAAAAATAAAGATTTGTTTCCCTGGATGAATACATGTTTGTTATAAGGAGAGGAGGACCATCCGTTCTGTCTCTCTCTAACTGCTATTCCTCCTGGGTCCATCTCCCCCTCCTCTCTAACAGCTAAGTCTTTGACAGACGCTAAAAGCTTTCATTATCACAGGCCCTGTAGGTTTCTTCACTCCTACACAGCCCTCATCTTTAAAAGGCCTTTTGTGAACACACGCCATTCACAAGCGACATCATTGAATTGTGGTCAACATCCCTGGTGCCACTCCATGTTCCCAGAGCTCCTCTCTGGGACAGTCCACTCAGCCCACCCCCAGGGGCTAGGATGTCCTCAACCCCTGAGCTTGCTGATCAGGGACGCTGAGCTATGCAAAGACATCTCTCTCCTTTCCTTCTTAACCTATGGCCCTTGGAAATATATATATATATTTAAGATTTTATGTATTTATTTGTCAGAGAGAGAGAGAGCGCACAAGCAGGGCGAGCAGCAGGCAGAGGGAGAAGCAGGCTCCCTGATGAGCAAGGAGCCTGATGTGGGACTCCATCCCAGATGCCTAACCGAATGAGCCACCCAGGTGTCGCGGTCCTTGGAAATATTTTGGAGTGCTAGGAAACCATTCGAATAATGCTCCCTTTTAACTGTCCTCTGTGCCGTGAATCCAGATTATTAATGTTCAAAGACAAGGTAAATGAAGTCTCAGGAAACAGGTCTTCTTTGGGAGAATCTGGGTCTTAGTTAACTGGGGCTTCTCCGAAATCTGTTACCAACTATGCAAGGGGAAAAGTGCTACTCGGGATAGGAGCTGAATATGGGGACTCATCCCCTTGAAGGTCACCTTCAATTAGGCAGAGACATTGTCGGGGGGATTAAATTAAAAGATACCACTTTCACCCCCTTTGTAAGGAAATTAGAGGGCCCTGCTGCCTGACCCGTAGGCAGTGTATCCATGACACTAAAGGACATTGCACTTGGGAGAAATACTGAACGAAGAAGGAATTTTCCGATAAGAACCTCCTCTCTGACTTTTAATTTAAAAGTTTCGCTAGCTCTCCTGCCATGTGTGGCTACAGGAGTGGGACAGAAACCTACAGAGAAAAAGAACAGACAGGAGAGACTTTCCCTACCAGATTGTAACTTCTACTTTTGTGAGTTTTTTCCTCAGGAGAGAAACACATCTTTAAGCAAGAGAAGATACTCCTTAAGTGTTAAAGTTGGTGATGTCTGTAAATAGTGTTTTAGGAAGCCTCAGAACGATAGATGGTTCCGGAATAGCTTAGTTCAGTAATTCCAACTTCTATCCCTAGGGTGATTTCAACATCTGAGCCTTCACTCATTCCCTCCGCCCAGCTCCACCCTCCCAGTCTTGCCATGAGAGAAAGCTGTGCCTCTGTCGAGGGGTGGGTGGGCTTTAAATTGTTGATCTTCTCCAGGAACCTAAAATCAACCCCCAAAAGTTCACTTTTCCCTAAAAACTTTTGTCAGATCGTCTGTGCTAGCCTCCCTAGACAGGACTGTGGTCTCTCCCACCTGCTCCCAGCTCTCTGTAATCACTTCCATGAAGTGGAGCCTTCCGATACATTTGCCCCCCCACCAAATCTGACACCTAATAATGAGCTTCAAGGTTCATTTCTCGGGCACAGGATCCCCCAAGTGTCTTACGAGCGGTAAACTCACTGCAGAAGAACTGGACAGGAGAAACAGGCTAACACTACACACACTCACCATATATCCCTCCTTAAACTTTTAAGTTGAAAATTTTTCCTGGAACTGCATCTGGGTGCAGAACCATGGGAATGCTCAAAACTAACAAAGAGTTTACTGAAGCTATGATTAAGACATTGAAAAGGTCAGAGGGTCTAGAGGAGACCATCCCAACTCTGAGATCTCGTCCTTGTCAACCTTAGTTTAGGAACCTCCTCCTGCATGCCATCAAAATGGATCATGTTGCCCAAGAAACCACTTTCTCCAAAAACCCCTAAAGGCATCTGACTTCAACTTGAAAACCACTGCCAGAGAGCAGTTTGAACTCACTGTTCATTGTTTGATTATGCAAAGCCTGCATTTGAGTCATTTCCGTCAATGTCGTATTTAGCTTGTGGATGATTTGAAGACAAAGACTTTTCTGTAACCAGCCATCTCAGTACCTGGGCAAATTTGGCCCTACAGACGTGTACCTCACCTGTTTTGTATGCTTTCCGGGATTTTCCATCATGTGAGGCAGCTTTTCAATCTAATATTTATATCATACTTTACAGTCTACACAATGTTTTCACAACCGTATTCCCATTAGATCCTTAAACCTCACTGTGAGATAGGCATGCATAATACAGATGGAGGAGCAGAGGTGTACTTGGCTAATTACCTGACAGCGGGGAGAACCCCGGATCCGACCGTCCGTATTTTTTGTGCATTACGCCTTCGGCCGCCTCAAAGACAGAACTGTTTCCAAGCTCAAAGTTTTTCATAAGGTAGACAGCCTCTGGGGTAAAGCAACTGGATGTATTTATGTCCTCAGAAAGTGTAAATAAAAACCCGACGTGTCCAAAATTAAGGCAACACGATGTGTTGTGAGTATAGAATATCATTTATGTAAATGCGTTCCTGAGCTAGGTAAAAGGCTTAAACTCTTGTCTTGCCCAGCTAGGCGGTCGAGCTGGGGGTCCCTTCACTTCTCCGGGCCTCAGTTTCCCCCACTGTCCACACTGGGTGGAGCTCTCTTCCGCTCCCTCGCAGTCCAAGTCTGTTTCGCCCCGGCCTCTGCGGTGAAGTCAGCGGAGGTCACGTGAAGGAGCCAGCGGGAGGCAGAGGAGCCCCGGGCTACAGGGGCTGAGCAAACCCGGGTAGAAGGGGGCGGACCGCCCCCCCCAGCCCGCCCCGGGCGTCCTCTGCAGCCATCGCCAGGCCCTGAGCCGGTTGCCAGGGAGGCGCCGGCCTCGGACGAGGCGCGGCGCTGCGGTGAGCGCCCCAGAGGACTCCGGGTAGACTGCGGGAGGTCGCCACCCGTCCCCACCCGTCCCCACCCGCTTCCCACAGCCGTCAGCGCCAGCCCCGCGCCCGCGACGCATGCGCGCCCGGACCTCCGCCGCCGCCGCCGCTGGGGGCGGGGCAAACGGAGCGCCCTTGCTGCTGCGTGGCCCGCCGCCCGCGGGAGAGAAGCGCGCGTGCGCCTAATTAACACCCCTCAGGGACACCAGGGATTAGGTCGGGCTGTGCGCGCGCAGACCGTGGGGTTGGAAGAGGCCGTGAGCTCATCCTGGAGTCTAGACTGCTGGAGCGGTGGTTCTGGGTGCTTGTCAAAATTCCAAATTCCTGAGCCTCCTCCCCAGCGGCCTGGATGCGACCCAGGAATGCATTCTTAAATCACCCCCAGATAGTTCTGGTGTAAGTGGTCCTCATTGGCTGGACCACCCTCTCGTCTCAATGAATGTAGGAATCGGAGCTTAGACATGGAGAAATGACTGGCCCACGGTCATACAGAATGACGTGGCAGAGCCCGGTGTAGAGCCCAGATGTGTAGACTTGCACTCAAGTGCTTTCCCATAGTGTTCCCTACTTCCCCTCCTGCCTCATTTTCAGGGCACGTTTGTTTAATCAGTACCAGGCCGACTGGGAGGCAGTTCATTCCCATTGGTTGAGCTAACTGAAGAACGGCAGTCCCTTTCTCAGAACACCAAAGAACCCCAGCCAACGACTCCAAATCGAAGCTCTACTCCCCGCTCTGACGTTGGGCCAGTACTGACTCAATCTGTAATCTGCACTGGGGCTGGGGCACCCTGGAGAGAGCTGAGCCCACCCAAGGGAACAATGGCCAGTTTAGATATATATGCCCCCTCCCCATACACACTCTTTTTTTTTTTTTTAAGTTTTTTTTTTTTTCTTTGACAGAGAGAGAGACAGCGAGAGAGGAAACACAAGCCGGGGGAGTGGGAGAGGGAGAAGCAGGCTCCCCGCGTAGCAGGGAGCCCAATGCGGGGCTCAATCCCAGGACCCTGGGATCATGACCCGAGCCGAAGGCAGACGCCTAACGACTGAGCCACCCAGGCGCCCCCCCATACACACTCTTATCAGTATGTACTTGTGAAAGACTGCATAAGGCATCAGAGGCATAACCCAACAAGAATGTAAAATGCTCCCGTGTCTCTATGCATGTGTGTGGAGTTTAGGGGGGCGGGGTGGAGGGGGGAATCTGACCCATCCCTGTGTGCTGGATTCTGGCTCAAGTTTAGGCATGTTCAGTAAGAGACAGTGGCCCCAGTCCAGGACAGCTGGATCATATGTGCTGACAGCCACTTTCAATGGCCCTGGATGGGGAAATGGACACTCCCTTGCATACCCTCACGAGAAGCTGCTGGGGAAGCCTTAGAGATAAGCAGAGCTAAGATCCCGGCACACGTTCACACTCCTGTTGGAGTCAACAAGTTGCCCCCCACCCCACCCCGCCACCACCCAGGTTAAAGCCTGGGAGACAAAGCTTGCCCGAGTAGAGGGGAGAGGGCAAGGGGCTGCAGAGGCTGCGGCCCTATTTGCTTTCGGAATCCCCCTCTCCCCTGGGGGGAAGGCAGTTGGCAAAGTAATGCCACCAGGCTTCTGAGAGAGTAGGCAATTCTATTCCCAGCGATACTCCTCAGGACTGTTCTGTGGCACGAGGCTGGGTGTTCTCAAGGCTACTCCCACACTCGGCCCAGAAGTGTGTCATCTTCCTCTGCTTCTCCCAGATCTCTGCCCCTCTTTATCTGTCCTGTCCCAGTCTCGCAGTCTCAAAACCTCAAGGCTGCAACTCTTTCTGAGAAAGCCAGGAATGCAGCTGTGAGTCCCATTCCCTGTGGGGGAGCTCCAGCTCTCCCTCCTGGCTCCAGATGTAAAGGAACAGCTGTGGAGGTGGCAAGATGCCCGGCTGGCAGCTAAGCAGGCCTGGGAAGATGGAGAACAAAACGGGGAGATACAGGCAAATGGCAGGGCTCTCATAATTCTAGAAACCCACGGAAAACAGCATTTTGTCCCCTGGCCCAGCAACTGGCTGGATAGGCTTTGCCAAATCCCTCAGACGCTGCCCAAACCCTGCCCATCCCAATCCTGGCAGCCTGGGCCACTAGGCAGGACCTTCTGTAAACTCCATTTTATGATTACCACTTAATCTGAGAAAGGAAACTTGGCTTCCTTTGTCTTACTCCACCCCATCCTCAAACCCACACCTCCCAGCATGAGGTTTTAGAAAAGAAAGGCTTGAGAGGGAGCGGGGAGAGGAGGAGAGGGTTCTGCCATTCCCATCTGGCATCCTCCTGCCTCTCCCTACCTCTGAGAAGTAAACCAGGATGTAGAATGCCAGGCTGAGTGTCCAGCAGAAGCCTGCTCTGGGCGCCACCTGCTCTCCTGCTTCACCAGGGTGACAATGAATGACTTGGCACCAAGCACTGTACCCAGTAATTATTTCCTGAATGACCATGGCCTCCTCTGGGTCCCACAGGGTCCCAGAGACACTGCTGGTCTTTAACCAGCCTGTCTAGTGCTGGGGGCTGGGGGGGGGGGACACTGTTGTGACTCACTTGCCCCCTCCATGTCCTCCCCAACCTAAAGGACACAGGGTATCACAACTGCTTCCATTTTAGGAAAAATAGTTTAATGTTAGGTTTCAAACCTCTTTTCTAGATGAGGTCCCATTCTCCGTGGAACCCCCATCCCACTGCTCTTCCCAAGCCTGCTGGGAGGTAGCAGCCCCTCTCTGGAGGGCACTCACCCGCTCCAGACGCCCCTGCCCTCCTGGGAGGCCTGCTCTGGGTCTAGGCTGTAGTGGACCCAGCACTTCTGTGTTTTTATCGAAAGTGGGCAGAACACTGTATTTTGCCCCCTTTTCCGATGCCATGGGACCAGCCCGTGGCACATTCCTACCCTTTAATTAAATAGCCCATTAAATAAGCTCCCGGCACTGGTGGAGAGGGGGTGCCACAGCATAAACCCTGCACCTCAGACGGCCTCCCGCCACCCGGGGGCCTCCACCCTGACCGGATCTGGCCGCCGCGAGAGCCACCAGGGGCAGGGCCCCGTCTCAGGCCCGGCCAGTACCAGGACCCCTCTGCACACAGGGGAGGGAGAGTCCAAGCAGGTCATGCTGGCACCAGGCACCCCCACAGCCATGGATAGGGCCGCTCAGGTGGCAGAGCGGGCAGACTGATGGGTACAGCTCCTGCCCGAGTCAGAAGAACGTGAGGTTCTTGACTGCTCCCATCTCCAGCATCCGCTTGATGGCCAGGGCCTCCTGGGAGACATTGTGGCCTGACCCCTGTGGAGACAGCCAAGGAAGCAAACTGAGGGACTCCCAGGGACCTCCCCGGCGCAAGAAGGTCTCTCTGGTGCTCCCCACAGCCCCGCCCTCCTGGGGGCTCCCTTCCCTGGGCTGGCTCCCGGAAGGAAGGAAGGAAGGACCTGTGTGGCCAGAGACAGCGGACTCAGGCCGGGAGCCCAGGGGTCTGGGTTCCACCCTCCGAGTGACCTCACCACGAGCTGCCTCTGGGCCCCTGGCACCACTCTCACTCACCCAGTGTCCCCAGCTCCGCCCCAGCCAGCTCGGGAGCAGGGGCCACTTACCGCCATTGACTTGAGTGTGATCTGTTCGTAGTAGTGAATGGTCTGCTTCCTGTTGTGGGCATCTGGGTAGCCAAAGCCGGCGATGTGCACCAGGTCGCAGAGGTGGAGGGCCAGTGTGATGGCCAGCAGGCCGGTGGTGGGCTTCTGAGGGACAAGGGGTGGGGAAGGTATTAGAGGGAGCCCTGCTCCTGTCACAGCCTTCTAGGCCAGCAATTTGCAACACCTTTTTTTTTTTTTTTAAGATTTTATTTATTAATTTGACAGCGAGAGACACGGCAAGAGAGGGAACACAAGCAGGGGGAGTGGGAGAGGGAGAAGCAGACTCCCCGTGGAGCAGGGAGCCCAATGCAGGGCTCGATCCCAGGGCCCCGGGACCATGACCCGAGCCAAAGGCAGACGCCCAACGACTGAGCCACCCAGGCGCCCCTGCAACAGACTTTCTTTTCCACGGAAATGTTCTTCATCTGGGCAGTCTACACCGCAGTCATGAGCCACATGCGGCTACCAGGCATGGGAGTGGGGCTGGAACTGAATCTTTCACTTTATTTAATTTTATACTTAATTAATTTAATTGACTTAAATTTGAATTTAAATAGCCACAGGTAGCTCAGGGCTACCAGACTGGGTAGGATAGCCCAACACAGCTCGGGGAGGGTTTGGGCCTTGAGGCATGATGACGGCAATCAGGATGACAGTGACAATGGTAATTATCGTCATCATCTATTACCTTTTGAGCACTGTGTGCCAGACCCTATGTTAAGTATTTACCCCGTATAATACGTGAGTGCCTCCGATCCTCACAAAAACACTTTGAGGTAGACGCTATCATGGCCCCATTTTACAGATAGGGAAACAGGCTTAGGACTCTTCGCTCAAGGAATGTAAAGGTTCTGCTCTCTGCTTTGGAAAACCTCCCCTCTTTCAGAAAACCTGGGGACTCTCTCACTCATGGGCTGTGTGCCTCTTTTTGAGGGTGGGCTCTCCCGTTCCATAAAGCAGGGATAGCAATACTGTTCCCACCCACCGTATGGGCTGCTATGGGGGCAGGGGGAGACATACCTTCTCCATCCCTAATTCAGCCACGGGGATGGGCAACCTGATACTCTAACCTCACAGACCTTGCCTTCCTCAGCTTCAACAACCTGCCTTCCTGACTGCTTCGGCTGCCCACTCCCATTTAGGAGCCGCTCCCTGGTCCTTGTCGGCCCAGGTTTTTCCCAATGTCCCTTCTGAGCTCTTCTGTCATTTCATCTGTCCCTTCCTGCCAGGGCCTTCTGTTTCCCTCCTGTTGCTTTGACCACCACTATGTTATCTTCTCCAGTCCACACCTTTGCCGAACCACATTTCCATGGCCTGCTAGCCAGCTCTGCCTGGTCACGGGCTCCTGAAACCTGCCAGACTCCCCTCTCCCCCTGTATTCCCTATACTAGTTAAGCATGTTACCACCCAGCCAGCTGTCTAAGCTGGAAACCAAGAATTGTGATAAATCTCTCAACTTCACCTGTAAAATAAATGGTGTAGCAGGAGGTCCCTAAGAATGACCCTTGAGTGCATGTGGAACCTACAAATCTGAGACCTAGTACATTACAGTCTGTTGCCCAACAGGTGCCCTTGGCCATAAGATAGAGAGATCATCCTGGTGGGCTTGACCTACTTACCCGAGCTTTTGCATCTGGGTCTAGAGGTCAGTCATGGAGGAAGTCAGGGGTGGGAAGCCCAAGAAGAATTTATCATGCCGTTGCTGGCTGGAAGGTCGAGGGGGCTGTATTGCAAGAAACCCGCAGCATCTCTAAGAGCTGAGGGTATCAAGGCTGAAAGCCAGCAAAGGAAATGGGACCTCAGTCCTGGAACCACAAGGAACTGAATCCCTCTGACAAGAAGGACCCTGGAAGCGTGTCCCCCCACCCCAACCCCACTCCAGCCTCCAGATAAGAACTCAGCCATGCCCTGCTGGACTTCCGACTGCCAGAACTATGAGTCCATCCATAGGTATTGCTTTAAGCCACTCAACTGTGGTGATTTGTTAGGCAGGCAGCAATGGGAAACCGCTACATCAAGGGCATCTCTTCCTTTTCCCCTCCCACGGCCAGAAGCTGGATTCTGGTCCTTCCCCCTCTGCCACACACCCCATCAGGGGCATAAAACGCCTCCTCTCTGCTCCCCTCAACTTCACTTGTGCTAGAACTCAGTGCTAGAGGGGCTGGTTGGTCTTGCCAAAGGAAATACCTTTTTCCCAAGTCTCTGTATGATGGGCCCCATGACCCCTCAAAGGCCCAACTCCAAGACCACCTCCTCTGGGTGGGTAGGGGGCCTCCCAGCCAGCCCCACACAGAGGTCTGCCCCTCCTCCCAGCTCCTACAGCATTTGGAACAACTCTCTACTGGGGCATTCTGCCACTCCATGTTGCAACCTGTATGTTTATTCTGCTAGACTGAGTGTCCTTAGGGCAAGGTGATGTCTTACTCCCCAAGCATGCAAATGTGGGGCCTGGGACTGAGCAGCCACAAAAGGATGCTTTCAACATATGAAGCTGAATCGTAGTAGATATTCAGTGAAGAATAAGATTCTTGATGCAAAATTTGGCAAATACAGTGAGCATCCACTGTGTACCAATCTCTGCGATAGGCATGTTACATAATTATGTTTTTAAATTCTACAAGGGCCGGGCGCCTGGGTGGCTCAGTCGGTTGAGCGACTGCCTTCGGCTCAGGTCATGATCCCAGGGTCCTGGGATCGAGTCCCACATCGGACTCCCTGCTCAGCGGGGAGTCTGCTTCTCCCTCTGATCCTCCCCCCTCTCATGCTCTCTCTCTGTCTCATTCTCTCTCTCAAATAAATAAATAAAATCTTTAAAAAAAAAAAAAAAAGAAAGAAACTGGAGGAAAGGCGGGGCGCCTGGGTGGCTCAGTTGGTTAAGCGACTGCCTTCAGCTCAGGTCATGATCTCAGGGTCCTGGGATCGAGTCCCACATCGGGCTCCCTGCTCTGCGGGGAGCCTGCTTCTCCCTCTCCCATTCCCCCGCTTGTGTTCCCTCTCTCGCTGTGTCTCTCTCTGTCAAATAAATAAATAAAATCTTAAAAAAAAAAAAAAATTCTACAAGGGCCTTAAAAGGTCAGTACTAACACTATCCCCACCATACAGATAAAAAAAACCATGGCTGCAAGTGGCCGATCTGCCCAAGGCTACGGGGTAAGCAGGACAGCCGGGTCCTGGCTATGTTTGCTAGTTACCTCTGACAACTATCCCACACAGCCTCTCTGGGGGCTCAAAAGGCACGTGTGGAAGTCCTTGGAAAGGTACGAGCTGGTAGCTAAAGCCCACCAGCTGAAACAAAAACCATAGCTTGCAAAACTGTACCATGACTCCCCAAACTGACATATCACACCAAAGCAGGACACACAAGACAAACTGAAGCTCGAGCTCCTTTTAACTCATTCTGACTAATCTGTTCCAAGATGAGATCACAGATGAAGTGACCCTAATAGCAACTGCAGAAACCCCAGTCATTCAAAAGTCAAGGCCACAGACTGTTCCAGCAACTCCCTAGTTCATAAATTCTGACCATGCCTGCCAAAGCCTCTAACTCTGGCCGCAAGCCCTATAAAAACCCCCCGCCAACTTCCTGCTGCGCAGGTGCTCCCACGGTTCTCAAAAGTACACACCCATCCTTCCGGCAGCCAAATAAACCAGACTGAATACCAGGGAGTGCAGGAAGGTGCGGTCAAGAGGCTGTCCCAGGTGCTGTTCAAATGCAGACTGCTGTCTCAGTTGTTACTTTCCCCTCTCCTGGGGTCCTCCAGGGCTTCCCAAGCCTCTAGAAACGTCCCACCCCAGAAACTAGAAACTCCCCTGCCCGCGGCCCACCATCACCTGCACCTGCTTAATCTTGCGTGGCTGTTGCATCGGCAGGCTCAGCAGTTTGTCAGCTGCAATCTCCATGAAGAAAGGATTGAGAATCCGAACCTGCCTGGGGTTGACGTCCCAGATGAGGGGAGGCTGCTTCCAGAAGCCCTTTCGCACCTGCGGGGCACAGGATTGGAAGGGAGATATGAGGGTGTGCGAAGACCTGTTTCTCAAGTCCAGCCTGGTGGTCCTGAGCCAGCAGATGGGGTCCACGTGATGGCGGAGGCCCCCAGGAATGCAGGGTTGCGAGGGGGAGGTGGAGGCTAGGCCCGCACCCAAGAAGGGAAGGACGACCAGAGAGGAGTGGGGAGAGAGAGGTGGGAGGGCCCTGCTCAGGCTGTGAGAGTATGGGGTCCCCCCACTGCCCGCTTCCAAAGATATTCAAGCAGGTGGAAGCGGCTTAAGTGTGGGGCTGCGTGAACACTTGGCGAAAATGCTAGATGGGACCCTTCAGCATCTGACTCAATGAGAGAAAGACACAGTGGACACGACCCGGGAGGACAGATCTCTCGTTCTAACCCAGCCCCCGTCTGGAAATGACTACTGACCAGCTCCTCTGCTCCCAGGTTCCTCACCAGCAAACACATATCCTGGCAGCTTCCCTGGCCCAGGCAGCCTCAGGCTTGGGGTGCCCCCCGACTCCCTTGCTGCGGCGGCTTCTCAGAAGCCCCACAGAACACGGAGTTCACGCCTTACCCTTGTGGGCTCTTTAGGACCACAGGGCCGACGTTGTGGAGCGTGCGGTCCTGAGACGGGCAGGGTCCCCTCCCTGAGGCCTGAGCCCTCCCCTCCCCGAGTCCCCACCCACCCTCTTCTTATCACTCAGGATGGTCTCAATCCAGTGGAAGTCCATTGCCTTGAAAGCTACCAGGACGAGGAGTGTGTCTGGGTCGTTCTCCACTTTGGGGTTGAAGTGGGCTGACTCGGGGTAGAAGAGACGCATGGTGGTCTTAGAGCCCACGTCCCCCTCGTAGCCGGCCACTGGTGCGTTGTTCAATCTGAAAGGCGGGGAGGAGGATGTCCGTCACCCCGAGCCCCCCGGGCCGGTCGACAGTCACTCCCAAACAGAAGGGATGAGGGTCGGTCCTACCGACCTGATGACCACGTCGTACTTGTTGATGGCGTCTCCCAGCGAGCTGTTGCGCAGCCGGTGCCCATTCCCCACCACCACGCAGCGGCGACACTTGAGGCTGCCGTGGGGAGAGGGGGATCAGCCCCAGGAGCCATCCCCGCTCCTGCCCCACTTAACTCCTGCCCTGGGTCTGCCCGCGGGCCTGGCCCCGGATTCCCTCCCAGGCCGCCTCAGCCCCCGACCCCCCAGGGCCCAGGCATCTCCAAGGGTCCTGCTTACGGTCCTGCGGACTCCACGGCCCTGGGCTTTAAGGCGAGAGGGGACCGAGCAGAGCATGGAAGACGGAGGAGGGGAGGAGGGAGGGCTCCCGGTGGGGACCAATAAGAAAGCCCGTTTCAAAGCCCCCTCGCCTGGTGCCCAGGCCCGCCTGGTGCCACGGCAATACCCTGCCTGCTAGGGCACCCGGATGCCCAGGCTCAGTTGCCGTGGACACCGGCGTCCCTGCCTCCCCGGGAGACAGGCAGGCTGGGAAGAAGGGTCAAATTGGCCGCAGGGGAGCAGAGATAGGAAGGCTCGCTGGGAGGTGCTGGCCCATGACTGTCACGTAGAGGCAGGAGGGAGAGGGCGCTCAGCCTCAGGGCAGGACTGTCTCCTTACCTCTGGATGCTCTCTGGAATGGAGTAGCTGGTGATGGCTAGAACCCGGAGAAGCAGGTCTTCTACGAAAAGACACAGATTGGGAGGGGCCCATGATAACAGCTAGCTTTCCAAAGGCTGCCAACTTTCCCTCCGCTGCTCCTCAGAGCCTCCACTGCCCCCGCTCCTCCCCTGACCCCACATCAGAGCCTGGCTCAGAACGTGGGTACTGGGACCACGGGCAGCAAAGAACAAGAAGCAGTGTGGCCGAGGGGAGCCCACCATCCGGCCACTCTTACCACTCCCTTTGGTCCCGTAGGGCAGCTCATAGGCAGATGGCGTCTTGACCCAGAAATAATCCTTCAGCTGCAGGAAGATGGGCTGATCTCGGGAGTAGCTGCACAGAGGTGAGAGCAGGGCGGGGATGAGAAAGGAATTCATCTTCAGAGAAAGACAAGTATCATATGACCTCCCTGATATGAGTAATTTAAGAAACACGACAGAGGATCATAGGGGAAGGGAGGAAAAAATGAAACAAGATGAAACTAAAGACGGGGCGCCTAGGTGGCTCAGTCGTTAAGCAGCTGCCTTTGGCTCAGGTCATGATCCCAGGGTCCTGGGATGGAACCCCGCATCGGGCTCCTGGCTCAGCAGGGAGCCTGCTTCTCCCTCTGCTTCTGCCTCTCCCCCTGCTCATGCTCTCTATCTCTGTGTCTCAAATGAATAAATAAAATCTTTAAAAATAAATAAATAAATAAATAAATAAACCAAAAACTAATGATGTACCATATGGTGACTAACATAACATAATAAAATATAATTAATAAAAAAAGTAAAGTAAAATTAAAAAATTAAAAAAAAAAAAGGGATTAATCTTGAAGAAGCCAGAATCAGGGTCGGATCAGGCCCCTGACTAATAGTATATATAGCATATATAATATATAATGTAATTATATAATATTTAATACTATAATAATATATCATATATATTATGTATTTACATATAATATATATTATATATTTATATATTTAAGATATATACTATATATTTTAAATATATAATACATATTTCTTTACATACTTATAACATATAATAATAAAATAAATAACAAAATATTATATATTATGTATATTATATCTAATATAGAATAACATTGTATATAATAAATATATTACTTATATGAAATAATATATAATAATATAATATTTTGGGCCCTTGCAACCTCCAACTCAATATATAAATTATATTTATATATTGTATGATCTTGTATATAATAATATAATATTACATATTATATTATATTACACATACATACATATGTTCAAGCGCCTCTCTTCCCCTCACGGGCTCACCTAACACATGTCCACTAATACGTTTCCTTCCATCTAAGCCAGCACTGAGGCCCCTACCCTGTGAAACTCCCCATCCACCTCACCCCGTGCCCTGCCCCCATGCCCTGCCTCACCTCAGCCTCAAGTACTTACTTGCCAAACAGCTTAGAGGCCTTCCTCTCTGCCTCACCCTGGAAGCACGGCTCCTTCTTCTCTGGGATGGGAAAATAAAAACTAGAGACAGAAAAGGAGAGGAGGCAGGGGCTCCAGTCAGACCTCTCAGGGCCCAGGGGTCAGCATCCCAGGCAGCCTCAATCTTCTCCCATGACATTGGTCCCAAGGTCCCAGAGAGTGATGTGCAGGGTAGAATCATCTCAACCCGTTTGCTCTGAGACCAACTCATTGCAGATCCGGCTCTCCTTTCTCCTGAGCTCCCTGGGTGAGGACCCTGGGGAGGCATCACAGACCCTACCCCTAAACCCACTGCCTAACCCTCCCGGAAGGATTTCATGCTAACAGCTGAAGGGAGGGGTCATACCCTGGCCCTCTGAACCCTCCTGGCCCCACTAGGTTCGCCACCCCATGACCCTCCATCCCTGAGCCCATTCCTGAGAAGAACCGATGGAAGGACAAGGAAGCTGGACTCACAGCTCAATGTACCTGTCTTCTCGGGAGATGGAATACCACACCATGACGACCAGGACCAGAGCCAACATGGCCAGGAGCTTCCAGCCTGCAGGGCACATGCACAGAGGAGCTAGACAGAGACAGGCAGGGACAGCCCCAGTGCACCGACCCTGTTTTGGGCCCCTGCAACCTCCAACTCTAGCAGACCCGGCCCCTGGCTCTCGCCCAGCCAGAGTTTTCTAGCACTGGGGTTGGGCCTGTGTTTCTACTGTCCTTCAAGATGGAGAGAGGGCCCCTTGGCTATCTGCATGTGCCTCCAGAACCCCCAGGGGGTTGCAGGATGATGCTGAAGACTGCTTCTGGGGGCCCATCCTTCAGGGTGGGAGAGCCCTGGGACAACACTCACGGGACTTGCTGATCATGTTTCTCAGCAGGTAGCAGGGTTCCTGGGGAGAGCTGTCATCCCGGCTGCCTCGGGCCACCTAGGAGGTTAGGAGTCACAGGTGTGAGGTCAGCTCTGGAAACCTACCTAGATACTAGAGCAGGACACACCCACAGCCTGCCTTCCCTGCTCCAGAAGGCACAGAGCTGCTTCCAGCGTGGCCATCCAGAGAGCGGACATCCTCCTAATCCCTCAAAGACAGCATCAGGGGTCCAGGGGGGGCAAGGGAACCCAAGTCCCACTCCTCAAACGTGAGGTCCCACGCCAGACTGGCCTACTCCAGCTTCTCTGGCGTGGTTTCTCTGTCCCCTTCCTCAGTTTGACCTGGGAAGGGCCAGCTCCAGGAGGCAGATGGGAACCTCAACCCACGTTTTATTTTATTTTTTTAAAGATTTTTTTAAATTTATTTATTTGACAGAGAGATAGCACAAGTAGGCAGAGCGGCAGGCAGAGGGAAAGGGAGAAGCAGGCTCTCTGCTGAGCAGGGAGCCTGATGCGGGGCTCGATCCCAGGACCCCAGGATCATGACCCGAGCCGAAGGCAGCCGCTTAACCGACTGAGCCACCCAGGCGCCCCTCAACCCACCTTTTACATGGAAGTGAACAGTACAAGGGTGTGATCTGTATTTTATGCAGCTGAGGTTTATCTATTCTCCGCCATCCAAAGCAGTCCCTTAGTTCTGGCTCCCACCCACCTCTCCATCCTCAGTCTCCCACTACTCCAGCCAAACGCATCCACTCAGGCCAGGCACTGGGGGGAAGGTGGGCTATGGGATGGTCCTCCAGCCCTTCTAGACTCTGGCTAAATGAAAACAGTGTCCAAGCCCTCATCGTCCCAGCACTGGAGGAAGCTCCGTGAAGGCAAGTCTTTGAATGGGAGCGCAGGGAGGAGGGAGGGTCCGGTTGGTCAGAGGAGATGGGAGACCCTCTGGGGTAAGGGCGAAGCCGGCATGGCAAGGACAGGGCTCTGGAAGGGGGTCATCTGTTATATGCACATAAGCAAAGAGGTCCCTACACACAAACTCAGCCAGGGCCACGCTGCAGAGACACGGGGGAAGGAATTCAGGCAGCTTGCACACAACACCAAGAGGTGTGGGACGCCAGGCACCATTTTTGTCATCCGTGCAGTGTTCCCCAGTCACCTGAATAAGAAGAGTTACCCTGGACCGCTTCCTGAAAACACAGATTCGAGGGCTCCTCCCAGGGATTGCTAAATCAGACGGGGCGGAATCTGGGACAGGCATTTTCACAAACAGCCCAGGTGATTCTTATGATCCTCGTGGAAAGGGAGGGAAGCTCTAGTGTTTGTGCTCTCTCAGGGCGACCTGGAAAACCTCACATTATTTCTTCAGGGCAGGAGACAGCATCAGGATGAGAGCTGGTTTTTGTTAGAAATCATAAATCAATTATCCTGAACTTTGTCCTATGACGGAGTCAATGTTCTGCCCCCAGGCTCCGCTCTGAGCCCATAAACACCAAAGAATGAGAGTCTTGGGAGGGGGCGGGATGAGGGGTAGGGACCAAGCCAGACACCCCCAGGAGAGTCAGGAGCACCCATCCCCAAACCCCAGTAGGGATGGAGGATGACCCTATCCAGTAAAGAAAAGTTCTGGATTTGTAGTTAGAAGATGCCAACGAAAGCCACGGTTCTAGTAACTTCCCTGGTCACTCCTCCGAAAGTGGTATGTCTTCTTCCATACCTACCTACAGCCACTGCCAATTCATTCCTTACCCCTGCACGGTCCAGAGCACTTTTCCTGATCTCTACCGAGCTTAGTTACTTACTTGCTTGCTTTCTGTCTGTCTTCCCCACTGGAAGATGAGCTCTGTGAGGGTAGCAATGCGGTCTGTCTTGTTCCCAGCATCCAGCACACTGCCCAGCACATAGCCAGCGCCCAGGAAGTACTGATGAATAGCTCCTTGGGTTACCTTGGGAGTTACTTCTCCCTCTCTGACCCTCAGTTTCTTTGGTTGTAAAACTGGGAAGTTAGCCTAATAGATGCTTACAGCTCAAAATACATTTATCAGATCAGCACCACGGGCATCACTAGGGATCTTATTAGAAATGCATAATCTCGGGGTGCATGGGTGGCTCAGTCAGTTGAGCGTCCGACTCTTGATTTCTGCTCAGGTCATGATTTCAGGGTCATGAGATGGAGCCCCGTGTCAGGCTCTGCACTCGGTGGGGAGTCTGCTTGGAGAGTCTCTCCCTCTATCCTCCCCGCCCCCCCGCCTGTGCTCTCTCTTTCTCAAATGGATAAATAAATCTTAAAAAAAAAAAAGAAATGCATGATCTCAGGCCCCTCTACACAGACAAAATCAGGATCTGCATTTGAATAAGATCACCTGATGAATCATATGCACATTCAAGTCTGAGAAACACTGGTTCAGGTGGATGTTTTTGACCTTGACTGAACAGGAGAATCACCTGGGTGCTAAAAATTTTTAAAAATAAGAAATAATTAAGAGCGTCTGGGTCCCACACCTAGGAATTCTGACTTGATGTGTCTGGCCCAGCACCGGAATTTGCGCAAACACCGCAGGATGGACACCACCACATAGAGCGAGCTCCACAGTAACTGAAAGACACAGACTCGGGCACCCTCCAGGCCCCACCTGGGTGGAGGAGACCTTTGGCAATGGGCGTGAACAGAGCTGACTGGCCCAGATCCCGAGCAACAAGACAACTAGCCCTCTTGACCTCTTCCCCAGAAAGCGTGCCTGGGTATGTCTTTGTTCCCAAGCGGTGCTGGTGTGTGCGAAGCAGACCGCCTAGGCTTAGAGCTTGCTCCAAGACCCCCAATCAGGGATTTCACCAGCCCAGCCTCTCCCCTTGCTGGGCCAAGCCAAGGCCAGAGCCCAGCAGCCACGGACATTCGGGGAGCCCAAGCCTCGGGGCGACCCCCAGCCTTCCCCCAGCCGCTGGCTGCCCCGCATTATTGACCAGGCCGTCAGGGTGCGAATGGCCACAGGCAGAGTCACAGGGGAGTACCTGGGCGCGAGAGCAGGGCTCCGCTCCACTCATGTCCCACGCGCAGCAGCGCCGCCTGCCACCAACCACCAGGGAGACCAGCTCACCCAACACATTAGGCCACGCTGACCCTGGGGCAGGGCGTCCGCATGCTCTCAGGTGATCTGCCAAATCCACAGTGTCCCTCGCTGACCTGAGGCTGTGACACTGCCCCAGACCTCGCTGAAGGGCAGAACGCGGGGCGCAGGGGGAAGAATTAACCCCCCATCCCCGTAAGCAGCCGCCACGCCTCATGCTGTAAGGACACTCATAGCCTCACACGCAGCAAGTACCCAGCAGCTACCTGCTGGAGCGAGAGGAACAGAATGCATATCCGCCCAAGGGCACAACATGATGCCAGGTGCCTCAGAGCCCTGGGGCCCATCAGAGGGATAAGGCTGAGTGTCCCTGAGCAGGGGCCTGGGAAGACCAATGCGGGCGGAAGCAGAGTCTCCATTCTTATTGGTTCAGAGACCTTGAGCAAGTCACATAATCGATGTCACCATCCCTTCGGTTCTGTAGGGAAAAATCTAGAGCTGCCTGCCTGCCCCGACTAGACTCAACCACCCCTCCCATTCCCTCCTAATCCCTCCACCTGGACACCGATCCCCGGCTCCCCTCCCCAGTACCCTTCGATCAGGGATCCCCTTCTGCCCTGTCTCTTCCCGCTCTCTCCGCTTCACTCCTCTCGAATAAACAGACTTCAATCTCCCTCCTCCTCAGACAAAACAAAGCCCCTCTCTGCCTCTACGTCCTCCTCCAGTTACCACCGCACGTCCACCCTTACCTCCAGAGCCAGCCCTCTGCATCTGTGCTATATCCACTCACGCCTTTACTGGACACCACCCCTGGCTCCCACCCCCATTTTCATACAGAAACAGCTCCTCCTCCTGACCCACCAGCAGCCTCCTGTCAAGCCCGAGGAAGGTCTATTTTCCCTCTTCCTCCTCCTCTGAGACTGACACTGTCAGCAGATGCCTCCTTCTTGGCTTCTGGGTCAGGACTCTCCTGGTTTCCCTCCTACCTTGGAGACTGCTCTGTCACTCCCTTTAAAGGCTGGCCTTCTCCAGGGATCTGTGCTTGAACTTTTGCCCTCCCGCCTCTTTTTTTTTTTTATGTTATGTTAATCACCATACATTATTAGTTTTAGATATAGTGCTCCATGATTCATTGTTTGCATATAACCCCCAGTGCTCCATGCAATATGTGCCCTCCTTAATACCCAACACCAGGCTAATCCATCCTCCCACCCCCCTCCCCTCTAGAACCCTCAGTTTGTTTCTCAGAGTCCATCGTCTCTCATGGTTCGTCTCCCCCTCCGATTTCCCCCCCTTCATTCTTCCCCTCCTGCTATCTTCTTCTTCTTCTTCTTTTTTTTTTTTAACATATAATGTATTATTTGCTTCAGAGATACAGATCTGATTCAACAGTCTTGCACAATTCACAGCACTTACCAGAAGCACATACCCTCCCCAGTGCCTATCACCCAGTCACCCCATCCCTCCCACCCCACCCTCCACTCCAGCAACCCTCAGTTTCTTTCCTGAGATTAACAATTCCTCATATCAGTGAGGTCATATGATACATGTCTTTCTCTGACTGACTTATTTCACTCAGCATAACACCCTCCAGTTCCATCCATGTCGTTGCAAATGGCAAGATTTCATTCCTTTTGATGGCTGCATAACATTCCATTGTGTGTGTGTATATATATATATATATGTATATATATATATATACACACCACATCTTCTTTATCCATTCATCTGTCGATGGACATCTGGGCTCTTTTTTTTTTTTTCTTAAAGATTTTATTTATTTATTTGAGATAGAGAGAATGAGAGAGAGAGAGCACATGAGAGGGGGGAGGGTCAGAGGGAGAAGCAGGCTCCCCGCCGAGCAGGGAGCCCGATGCGGGACTCGATCCCGGGACTCCAGGATCATGACCTGAGCCGAAGGCAGTCGCTTAACCAACTGAGCCACTCAGGCGCCCCGGACATCTGGGCTCTTTCCACAGCTTGGCTATTGTGG